AGCTAATGGACCGACGTTATGTGAGTAAGAATGAAAACTCAAACTCAAAAATGCATTTCAATCTATTTTCAAAATATCTCTTTAAGACATATATTTTTTACTTGTGAATAAACACTCACCTGAAGTTCTATGTAGTTTAGTATATTTTTATATATGAATCCACAGAAAGGACTATTATGAAGATAGAAATCCTTGTCTTCATGAGACAACTGCAGGAGCTGCATGACCTATTTCTGTGGACTACTCTGTTACTATCTCATTGTCTCAAGTGACATAGTTCATCATATCAGAGCTCCATGAACTTAACTTCCACTGGCCATTAAAGGTCTTCCATAACCAATTAAACTGTTGGGAGAAAAACTGCATGAGAACAAACTTTGCAGGAAAAGTGCACTGACAAATAATCTCAGCAGTGGCAGGAACTTCAGAGCTCATCAGTTCACAAAAATCTGATCCTTTATTCACACTTGTGTCAAAAGTAAAAGGACATCACCTACCCAGGCTTTTCTCCCTCTCCTCCCGTCTCTCTTTGGCTAATCGCATCCTGTCGTCCGTCTTCATATAACCCTCCACAACTGAAAGAGGAATACAAATGTCAGGAAACAAAAAGTAGGCATTGGAAAGGGAGATAACTTGCTTTTGAACAGATGCAAACATAAACTTACTTTGTTTACCTGCATGGTTATTAGCTGTTAAGTGTGAAGGGGACGCATGTCCATTTATTTGCGGCTTCTTCTCTGTGCTCGATGGAGCTGTGATGACAGAAGGAGACAAAGCACACTCAGCTTTGTCTAAAGAGGAATGACATCAGCACCTGATACTGACCTGCAGTGCTGCTCTAACACCAGCAGAGGGAAACATGTCTGCAGCTCTGTGAGGGGCTGCTCTGTGGTAAATGCATTGTATAGCAAAATGCCAAGCAGACCCATGCCAAGGGCAAACTGCAGCAATACGCAGGAGAGAGGGGGAAACCGTCCTTGGCGTGATAGTCCCTCCACACATGCTGAATGCCTCTTCTGATTATGTTGCTGCTGTGACTGCTGATAACAGAGCAGCCCTGAAACACAAGTCCCTGGGCCTGCAGAGTCTTATCACGCATTCTATAATGTGTCTCTAGTAATTGTGCATTTTCTCCAAATAATTGTGCGGTCACTTGGAAAAAAGGGTGCATCATGTGATAGGAACACTCACTAGTTTTTCCAGTTCGGGCCGGAGAGCTGTGACCATTTGTTGGAGATCTCTTCTCAGGGAGCAGAGTGATGGACGGCGGTGCCATCTTTTCACCTGAAGCACAAAACAAATAAAATATTACACGGAGCACTGATCTTAAGAGAAAGCTGCTACTCTCACATCAATTTCACATCATAAGTCTGATAAAAAAAATGTTATTAGATACATCTATACTCTAAAGATTAGATATTGAGTTTAATAATATTGCAATCTGATCTTGGACGTGTCTCTTAATTGCCATGTAAATACAGAGGTTAAAAAAAAAAGTTGAATCCACAAATTCCCTGGATCAATATGTGCCGTGTCAGCTAAGCTGCCATCAAAAACAGTTACTTCACTTGATGAGGTGAATTCCTCTCTTTTATTGAGTGTACTGAAAGCTGGCAGAAACTCTCATGATGTCAGACAGGAGAGCTGCCAAGCATGAATGCTTTACCAACCTAACTTAACATATACATTCATCATGGATAACTGGTCAAATGTATCCTGTTTCCTAACATTATTATTTATTCAGTGGCCACAATCTAATGTACTGGTTGTTTTTAGTGTAGCTTATTCTTATGGTTTTGTGGTGAATACTGCTCATACTCTATGTCCTGTCATAGCTGTTTTATAAAAATGCAAGCTACAGAAACAACATTATGTGTACAACATGCTGCCTTAGGCATGACAGTGAAACAAACACACATAAAGTGCCTCCAGTGGTCTGTCACTTTGCAATTTCTCATTGAAAGTCAATGAGACAGTGGAAAGTATGTTCTGGAACAAAACTCATGCAATTATGTGAAATTCAAATCCACTTATTCCAGAGGGCAAATACAATGTGAGATAATGACCCGTGTCAAAGGCATCCCAAAATAGTTTGATGCTCATAATAAATGATGGGGTCTGTCTGGGTCATAGGCAATAACCACTCGTCATTTCTCCACCCGTTTGAACCCTTTTATCTGATTAAATCGCGTCATCACCAAAAATGGCTACACCATTTTTTTGGATCAGAATTAAAAACAATGACTAAACTGGTGCGCACAAGAGGCTAATCCTGTTTTGTTGACGTTCACTCGTGATTAAAAAAAATTTTTTTTTTTGATTTAGGTTTATTTACTTGGAAAAGTGTACATCTTTTAGATCTTCTTCCGTCGAAAAGGGTTAGAGAACCTTAGCGAATAAACAAAACATTGAAGCCGGTCTGCACAGCCAGCATCATTCTCATAAAGCGGTGGAAATGTCAATTGCGTCATTCATGAGTCTGCTTTAAATCGCGTCGCAAACACAACAATAGAGCCCGATAGCATGATGATACCAAACCAAGCAAACATTCAGCTTACCTGTTATTGCACTGGAAGATGTGACTGTTTTCGCCATGGTTTCACAGCCACAATGCAGCCAAATGTATGGACCTGCTGTCCCCAAAACACTCTGCAGTGAAGCCAATGCAGCACAGGTATCCGTTTCCCTGCAAGGCTGCAGCAACAAGAGCAGCCACTATGCACACACCATTCAAATGGATGGCCTGAAGGTCATTGTGAAGCCTGGAGAAAATGTCCAGGACAAGACACTGTTGTGCGGATGGATGGAGAAGAGGAGATGATGATGCGCACACAATCGAGTTGACTACCCAGTGATCACACCGTGCGTCGCAGCGTAAGCCCGCCCTGATCAGCACAGCCTGCCGGTAGATGGGGGAGATTTCCTCTTCCTCTCTGCACGCAGCTCAACCACGACCAAACAGAATAAAGCTTCATTAATGCAATGTTGTTTGGCCTGTTTGCCCGAATTAAATATTGTCGTTTTGTTTTATTTTCTTGTCAGAGAGTAGCAGAATGTTAAAAGGAAATAAAAAGGCACTTCTAACATCTCCGAACACTTTCCCTGGTACATTAATAACACCTAAAAAAGGTAATGGATTTTGCATCAAGGATTTTTTTATTGCATTTGTTTAAATTTAGTCAATATCCTTAGTTTAGACAACTTAAGGGGGGGAGATTCGAACCCACGTCTCACAGAGATCTAGACATGATCTGCCTGCATGAACCACTGAGCTATAGCAGGTTGAGGACTGATTTTAAATGTGTATTATTTTTTCTTAAAAGCAGCAAACAGAAATAATTGTCCCCATTGACAAAACCAAATGTTCATGTTATTTTAATTAAATATTTTTTTCAAGTTTTATATAAAAATGTTTTGAAAAGTAATGTTTTTAATTCTTATTTTATGACTTTTTGTTTTGTTTTAGAAAACATTTGTTGTCATATTAAATATCTATATATTTTTTTGTATTTTTTTGTTAATTCCCAGCTGTGCAGTTATTATGTTGATTTATCCTAATGTGTATTGTGATGCTTGTTACATTTGTGCATGATCTCACTGCTATAGTGGAGAAGAGCTTCAAATCAAAGGTCTCACCTGTTAGAAATCCCATCCCTTACTCTCCTGTTACTGAGTTTTAGGTAATAGCAAAACCTTTAATAGTAACACATAAAGATATATAATGTGTGTTCTGTTTATTCTCACCTTAAATGTTTTTATTTATACATTTATTTATTTATTTCCATATTTATATTTTTTCTTGTGTTTTATTTATTCCTATATTTATTCCCACATTTATTTATTTCAGTTTTTTTTTACATTCATTTATTCTTTAATTTGGTTATTCCTCTATTTATTCTGTATTTATGCATTTATTTATTTTTTACTTATGTCATATTCGGTCCTCCATACCCGTGTGCTCGTTGTGGGCTTAACCCTCCTGTTGCCTCCGGGTCAAATCTGACCGATTTACTACTTTCATCAATCATAACTTTTTTGTTTTACATTCGATTGCATTAAGGCTTTATGATATCCTTCACATAGACATTTGAACATATAAAATTGCTGATCACCACTTTCATTGAATTGTGGATGATTTAGTCAACATTGTAACACCCATGGTGTTTGTTCCCGGTCAAAAATGACAGCCATAAATAAATGGAATTAGTAACCATCCAGATCAGATAACACACACACACACACACACACACACACACACACACACACACACACACACACACACACACACACACACACACGCACACACACTCTAGATGTGTTCCCCCCCTTATGTGCCCATCCCCCCACATGGATCACACCTGGCACACGCAATACATGTTCAGTGTCTGTTCTTTGTATATTTACTGCAGTTTTTCATGTATACCAGTAGTCTGATACTTACAGTTTGAAAGGGTGTTAAATGAAATTTGGTGATGATTAATGGTTTTTGTGTTAATGTAATAGCAGTTAAAACAGGACCGGTCAAATTTGACCGCGAACACCAAAGTAAGGGCGCTCATTGTTTTAAAAACACATTGGTGGTAAGATAAGGTAAGATAGTAGGCTATACTTTATTGATCCCAATTTGAGAAATGTTTGTCTTGCAGCAGCATAAAAAAACATGGCATGGTACAATACAAATTAAAAAGACTAGAAATAATATATATATATATATATATATATAATAATGTTGAATTTACAAATTAACAATAAAAAAATATAAAGCAAGTTATTGTGAGGGATGGAATATTCAATATTAAACTGAATATATAAATGTAAAACGCACAGTGTGATTTATTTTCAGTAGGTCCAGAGGTCTATGCATTAGTTTTTCATGCACAAGGAGTGCAAGTTCACTATATTTATGTTACCTTATCCGAACTGCAAATATAATTTTTCCCTTAAAAAAACTGTACACTACTACACTCATGTTTGACAGTGGTGGCAGCAGAGTGTGTTTCTGCCGGTATTGAGACCAGAGAAGAAGAAGATCGAGCGGAGCCGGAAGGACAGTCTGACAGAAGGACGTAGCCGTGCTGTGTTTAGCTCAGAAAGATGCTGACCAATATCTCTAATGTGCTGAGGGCCTGCGCTCAGAGGAATGTAAGTACAGTAATGTTGTAGTATGAATGTTCTTAGTCAAGCTCGTCATGACAGTCGCCCTCTAAAACCTACACATTTGACTCAAAACCAGACTGTCATCGCTGTGCTGACCTTGTGAGGCCGAGCGATAGCTTGTTTGGCTAACACAGCTACAGCCTGCACAGAACACTCTTCACTATAGCTCAGTGATTTGATCAGTGTTCCTTATCATTTAAGATATCCTACGTTGCTTTTTTCTAATTATGGAGACAGGTTTTTTTTACAATGAGTCTAAAAATTGACACTAAGTAACGGTATTAATAAGTTTCTTACAACTAAGCAGTCCAATCAAGTGGAAGAAAAACAAAGCTTACCTTAGGTTTCATTGAATTGTATAGCTCTGGTATTATATTTACATTCTCTTCCCTTTGTTTTGCTGCTAAACATTGAGACCATTTTTCTAAAGAATGTTAATTGTTATCATTTTGGAAAGATCCCTTCCTAAATCAATTTATCTTGTCCCTTACTTATCATTATTACAATATTTTAAAATGTTCTGTTATAGATAACCAGTAAGTTATTTTTTGTATAAAAACACGCTTTTATTCTTTAAGTATGGAAACAGTAACATACAGTAGCTCAAGCATTGTCTTGTTATATTGTTAAAGATGTTTAATCCTCAGTAGATTTGTATTCCTAAAGAAAGATGTTCTTCTGTCCCACGACAGGGATCTGTAGCGCTCGTGTCAGCACGAACATATGCTGACTTCACAACTGAGGCTTCCTTTGAAATAAAGGTAAGCTTGAAACACAACTTTTTTGTCAATTCATAAATCCACATGGCAGTGTGTGCATTATTATTGATGTTTTCTTTCCTCCTAGAAATGTGACATCCACAAGTTTGAGGAGGCCCCGGCCACTGAGGTGGTGATGACCCGCGATGAGGGTCTGAAGTACTACCGCGTCATGCAGACCATCAGGCGTATGGAGCTGAAAGCAGATCAGCTGTACAAGCAGAAGATCATCAGAGGATTCTGCCACTTGTATGATGGCCAGGTTGAGTGCACTTTATATTTTTTTATAAAGTAAATGGCATTGATATTAAATATTATTATAAACCTAATGCACATATTTTTAAACTGTAAAACAAGTTTTTAAAACCTATTTAAAGTTCACCTATTATGCAGAATCCACTTCTTCATGTCTTTTCTACATCAACATGTGTCCCCTCTGTGGAAAGAGGTTCTTAAAGTTTCAGGAAAAAATATCCTCTCTCTTTTTGTTCTGATCCATTTCTATAAAAATCTGTCTGAAAATGAGCTGATCAGATTTTGGCCACTTTATGATGTCATAACGATGTCTTGTCTTGTGTAACCATTAGCCAATCACCAACCAAGGTAACCCCCCCCCCCCCCTTATCACCTGAATCTCCTCCTAGAGCACCATTGTGTTCTTTGTAACCAAATCTCTCTCAGAGGGGCGTGGGGAGGGGCTCCTTATTCTCATCTAAAGTAACAGACGGAGAATCAGCACTTTTTTGAAACAGGGCTGAAACAGAGGGGATTATGGGTAATGCTGCAATGATCTGTTTGGTGTTTGGAGCCAAACACTTCAGAGACATATTTTGTATATATTTGAGACCTATAATATATGGATGAAAAACAGTATAATAGGGGATCTTTAAACCGTAAAACAAGTTTTTAAAGCCTATTTAAGATAACACATATACCGTCATACATCATGTCAAGCTGTTTTTCTTTTCATAGGAGGCCTGTGCAGTTGGTATTGAAGCAGGAATCAATTTGTCAGACCATCTGATCACTGCGTACCGCGCTCACGGCTACACTTACACCAGAGGAGGGACTGTGAAGCAGATCATGTCCGAGCTCACCGGTGAGGCTGCAAATCTGACTCACTGAGACGTTATTAGTCTTTTTTGTTATTTTGTGAATGATTTTTAGATGCACACATACTTTTTGTTTTTCACTCACCTCTACTTTTATATCCTTAAATATTTTTGTTTTTCAATTTCCAGGCAGAAAAGGAGGTATTGCAAAGGGCAAAGGAGGCTCCATGCACATGTACACTAAAAACTTCTATGGAGGAAATGGAATTGTCGGAGCTCAGGTATATCACAGAAGTCTTTTTCAGTGAATCTATTATTGTTTATTTTTGTCTCGAGCTTGAGTCACCAACTAGCATGTTTGAACATACCCACCAAGTGCTTTAGACATTAATAACGTATATTTATCTCCTCAGGTTCCTCTCGGTGCTGGTGTGGCTCTGGCCTGCCAGTATCTGGAGAACAACCAAGTGTCCGTCAGTCTTTATGGTGACGGTGCTGCCAACCAGGTATGGTACAGAAATCAGTGCGGTGTTAATCAATGAGAAGAATCCTGTCTGTGTGCCATGTTAACATAAATGATTTGTGTGTTTCACAGGGTCAGATTTTTGAAACCTACAACATGGCAGCACTTTGGAAGCTGCCCGCCATCTTCATCTGTGAGAACAACAGGTATGGCATGGGGACGTCAGTGGAGCGCTCTGCTGCCAGCACAGACTACTACAAGAGAGGAGACTACATTCCCGGTCTCAGGGTACTCTTCTTACTCACTTTTTAAAAACCGTTATGTCTATATTTCTATAACAGCTATGTGGTTGAATTTTACTTGAAAATACGTGGCAGATTCACCCTGGATTAAGATCACGATGATCTCTGCAATTATTCAAATTCCTTGTGGTTCCCAGGTCATACTAGTCCAGTCCAAATAGGGCTTTACTTTACCAATTTGAACAAGGTACAGTAGGTGTGGTGAGAGCAGTTGTATGCCAGATGACTGAATTTAATTTGATGGATACTTGGTACAAATTCAAACAGCTGTCTTCAATACAGTACCTTGTAATAATAATATGAATACATGGGATTTTGATAGCGCTTTTCCTAATGCTCAAAGACGCTTTATGTCAAATCACACACAGCAGCCTGTAAAAATGATATTGTTAACCTAGCAATGCCATGATGTGACACTAGTCAAAACAAATGAGCGTTTCTTTAATGAGCGTTATCTTTTTCCGGTCAAAATGAAAAAGCATACATTTCTATATGCATTACCTGAAAGCGGCAGATCTTGATTCAATGACATTTGGGGTATTGTATTTGTGTCCAGGTGGATGGGATGGATGTTCTCTGTGTTCGGGAAGCGACCAAATTTGCAGCGGATCACTGCAGAGCTGGGAAGGTGAGTTTAAAAACTGTGAATTATAACAAGAAGGAAAGTGAGTTTGCTTGTTTCTCATCGAAGTTACATTTCTCCTACCTTTCATCAGGGTCCCGTTCTCATGGAGCTTCAGACCTACCGCTACCACGGACACAGTATGAGCGATCCTGGTGTCAGGTAAAAGATTGCAGTACTTGTTCAATTAGTTTTAACTGATTATTACACGTTTATTGTTTTTGAAGCCCTTATTTATTATTAATCATCTCACCACCAATGTTATCCTCCATGTGCCGCTCCCCTTGCTTCTGCCACAGTAGTCTTCAGATCCCCTCCTTCCAGCCGTAGTGCCCCCACCTCAGCGTAGGGATGAACTGAACACATTTTGATACGAGAAACTGGCTCTAATAATACAGGAGGGATTTCTCAAAGCTCTGAGAAATGTAAACACACCACAAACTATTGCAAAATGAATTCAATGTTGTTCTACTAGCTAAAATGGTCACAAATCCCTTCATCTGTATTTAGGGGATTGTTGTGTTGTTGTTTTTTTACAATGACCCCAAACTAATTTGATTTGGCGTCTGGTTTAAGAAAGACATAAGGCTGAATTAGTGCATCCCTGCCCTGATCTCTCCCCTCTCAGCTACCGCACACGTGAGGAGATCCAGGAGGTCCGCGGGAAGAGTGACCCCATCTCCCTGCTGAAGGACCGCATGCTCAACAACAACATGGCCAGCATCGAGGAGCTCAAGGTACAAAACATGTTCCGTTTGTAAAATTAAAGAAATGCTGCCACAACTAGTTGTCCACTGATTTTTAAACTTCCACCATGTGTTTCAACAATATCGTCAATCTTGTTTCTAATGTTTTGAAAAAGGATCAAGAAGAAAAGGGAGAGAAGCGTATTTTGCTGTGACCTTGACTCCCTAAAAGTCTGGAATACATGTTTGTTTTGGGGTTTGAAACCACAGATAAATAAGTCAAACTTTCTGAGGTGTTATCAATGCACCTATATCCCAACAAGATATACCTGCAATACATCCACATGTCATCTAGATCAGTGGTTCTCAACTGGTCAGGCCTCAGTCGGGACCCACTTTTTCCTTAGTCAATAGATCGCGACCCAACATTTTGAACCACTCAAATCTATTCAACAAAAAAATCATTCATTTTTATCTGAAGTTGTACCCGTGGATGTATAAAGAATAGTTCTACCGTAATGTTATTCTCCGTGGGGACTTCCGGCAACAATCTTGATTCTGATTGGCCAGAAGACTCGAAAAAATATCAGCAAAAATGTTTTATTGAGAAGATGATCACTACATGACCGTTTATGGTCTCCGGTACTTCCAGCCTACTGCACAGCGTTGGAACATCGGGCCTTCAAAATAAAAGTTTGACTTTTTTTCTTCACTCACAGATCTGCGACCCACTCGAAACGGGTCCGCGACCCACTTTTGAGAACCACTGATCTAGATAACACAAGCAATTCAGCATTTGGATGCCTATTTAGCTGTTTGAATACACTGGCTGCTGTGATCAGCGATAATAAAGTGTGTGTGACTGCATTTTGCTTTTAAATATAACATGTGAAAATCATATGAGATATTGTTTAAGAGATTTCACACAAAGCTGCCGTGCATTGTTTCAGCACTAGAGGGCTTACTGGTGTTACTGGTTTTAGCTTCTGTCTCATCACTTTGTTATCTCAGCTGAAGTAATCGCAACACAAAACAAGACAATCTGACCTCAAACACAGAGGCCTCGCAGTTTAAAAAACACAGTTTGAAAGTTACTTTGAGTTTTCAGCTATATAAGAAAATGGAAAAAATACAATACTTATTTTATTTGGACCAGAAACTGTCGCCTATTTACTGTATATATTCTCATATGGCGGTCATTGCTTATGTAAAAGAATGTACATGCAGTTTTAATTTTTTTTCTAATTGAACGCTACCTTCATAACCAAATGTCCCTTAGCTGTGCTGACTAAATGTCAGAAAGAAAATAACAATCATTTTCTGTCAGAATCAAAAATACTTAATTTTTCCAGGGGCAAATTGGGTTTCATGACGGTTGTTCCATTTTTAGAAAGAAATACAAATATATGATTAATACAATAACATATTTATATAAAACTTAAGAAGTAAGAATGTGCAGTCAAACGAGAAAATAAGATGTCATGTAGACATCAAAATGTAAAGTAAAAATGTCAAATAAAAGAGTAAAGAGCCAGCGTTTCGACTGCCTGACGCTCCGAGGGAGGGGTTAAACAGCCTGATGACCGCTGTCCTTCCTGTGTTGTCTTTAGGAGATCGACGTGTCGGTGAGGAAGGAGATTGAAGACGCTGCTCAGTTCGCTACGACAGATCCCGAGCCTCCACTGGAAGAATTGTGCAACCACATCTTTCACGACAACTCCCCGATGGAGGTGCGCGGCGTGAACCCGTGGACCAAGCTGAAGTCTGTTAGCTAAAGCTTTTTCATCCTCTCTTATCATCTGGTCCTCCACCCAACACTATCTGATCTCCCCAAGCCACTCACTTATACGCACTCATTGTAATTAAGACCCAGAGCTTAGACATCGGACAGTAAATGGATTTCAGCGCTGTACAGTCACACAGCCGGGACCATATTCACAAAAAGCAACCTTATGAGCATTTCTACTGCAGTGATGCATAGTCTTATGAAATTATCTCCCATATTTATTTATATCTTCTGTAAAATGTTAATATAAAATTACTAGTTTGCAAACTCAACACAATAAAGATCATTTATTTAATGTTAAGTATTAAATGTACCATCCTTGACGCTGGTGGATTATTTCAAGTCTTCCCCTTGTGAATGAACTTAAATATGTAAACCCCTTTGATGAATTGTCTTGGTTTTAAAAGGGAAGCTTAATAAATAACTTTAGCTAGTGTTTCCAGGATTATTGGGCTATTTTAACATTTAGCACTAAGTTGGAAGGCTTGGTAAATCTGGATTCAAGCTAAATAAATCTGGTCAAAACTAAATTTGCTTTAGATAATTCTTTCACTTTTGAGGTGTAATAAAAAAGAAACGTCTTTCCATCACTCCTCATCTTATAAAAACACTGACCTGTAAAAAATACTGAAGTGTACATGATAAATCGTTCAGTTTAAACACTGCTGTTACTAAAAAGATCCTCAATCCGGCCCCATTTTTAGTTTTTTAATATGTTGTACGTAAGAGAGGGCGAAGAATACCAAGGGAAGGGTTTGAAATATTTAATTTGATCTTGCCAAACCAAACGTGCCTGGCAGATCTTGTGTTGTTGTCCAATGTGTCGTCTCATGTTTGTGTCTCACTCCAGTCTGAGCAGCTACCTGTGCATCCGGACAGAGAGGTGTTTCAAATGTTTATTTTACAGATACTCAGGTGTCTGGTTTCATTTTCATGATACAAACAAACCTTTCATTGAAATATATATATTCGGAAAGACTATTATTCAATGACTAATGTAAATGTGTGTAAATACTTACACTCAATTACCACAATCTGTAACATCTATTGCAGTACGTTTCCAGATCAAAGAGGTGCTGGGGGAAGTATTGTTGGGTTAGCTGTTTGTTTGTTGTGCTCACAAGGTGTTATGTGCTTTAACAACACACCAGCAGTGGCACATTATTGGCTCAAATGGAGAGAGATTCACAGACATTTTGAATTACAGTCAGTTTTTTCCTTGCAAAGTACTTGAACATGAAAAATGAAAGTGTACCGACACCTCGGTTAGCAAAAACAAACCTGCTTATCGACACAGCAAGCTGCCTTTCAGTTAATGGCGTTCCTAAACATTGCAGCAATGCATTGTTGTTTCTCTATAATGTGATTCTTTCGGCAAAAAATAAGACTGACTTAAATTTAAAATGTCAATACCTGTCTTAATACAACAGATGCCCACAGTGTGAGTATTTGTTGTAGTGAACTGTTACATTGAGGGTGGAAGAAGACGAAGGGAAACGCTCCATGGAAACATTGTTTTTATGTGCACCACTGTAATAAAAAGACTGTAAGATACTGTAATCGTCTACTCCTCTTTGTATGTGTGTATGATGGGTGCATTTCCCCCAGCTTTAACCTCATATTCAGTTAACTCTGACGATTGCACGTCACTGTCAGCAACATAATTAGTGATTTATAATTGCTACAGGGCCTGTCTTTCAACCATAGAGGTAGCACCCTTGGAAAAATGTTGGCATCTAAATATTTGCGACAATAAAAGTGTTTTTGAGTTTTTACACTTGTGAGGTGGTCCTGATTAAAGACAACATTATTTTTACAACTGAGGTTTGTCTGATTTGTCAACCTGACCTGGTGTTTTTTAAGCTACAGTAACTGAGTTTGGACAGAAAGTAGACAACTAACAGGCTTAGATAGTGGCTCGATAGTTCGATTTGGAGTTTGTGTTCTTGTAACTTCATTATCTTAAATTCATTTGCATCTGAGCTCTGGTTCGGTCCACATTAATGGACTGTTTCAAATCAACAAGTTCAAGTTTTTTACTTTGGCTGGGGAACAGCCTTGAAAACTAACGCAGTAGTAATGCTAGTATCCTGTTGATAACAATGTGTTCAATGTTTGTTGTCACAATACTGGTGGATGACGTTTCACACATGAAAGGTGCTGAATGGCAGGTTTTCCAAAAACGTTCATATTTACCACATAGAGGTGGCTAGAGTCACTTCCAGGAGCCAACATACAGTGGATCACATTTCGACACCTTTTTTATTTCTCACAGACCTACGTTTTTTCTTAATGTTATCCTTAAGAAAATATTTAAGTAAAACAACATTAACAGAAAAGTTGGGAGAGGACTTGTATGATACTCGTTCAAAAGACACTGTACGGTGTATAAATAAATAACTGTAAGGGGAGATGATAGAGCCGAGGAATAAAGGTTAGTTGAATTATGGCAAGGTCATATTTTGATTTATTTGTAGGGTAAAAGAGGAAATAATGTGGTAAAAGGGAAGTGGGCGTCAGGGGCTAATTAGCTCCAGGAGATGGCAGTAATGCAACTATAAGGACCCAAGCTGTTGCAGAAACTGAATGAAGAAGAAGACGGCTTCTCAAATCCTGCCAGAAAGCCAAACACATTCCAGATAGTGGTTAGTCCTTTCCAAGGGACGACACAATGGAGTTTCTCTTGCACATTATTTTAAAGAAGGATCTTTTCAGTATCCTGTGCACCGCTCTCCTCCTCTTCCTCACCACATCTGCGGAGGAAGTGAAAGACTCCCAGTGTCACAACTACGCGGGAGGACACGTCTATCCTGGGGAGGCTTTCCGCGTGCCTGTGTCCGACCATTCACTGCACCTCAGCAAAGCCAAAAGTGAGTTCCTCTCATGAGTTCATCCTGAAGTACTATTTAGTATTTGCATTAGAGAAGTGCGCAGTGATTTATCTTCCTGGCAATCACAGCTGCTGCAGCTCCAGCATGGAGATCTGCTGTCAGGACAATGGAAACACACTGTCTGCAGCCTGGACTCATGTCGGATGGGCTGTTTCTTATTTACTTTAATTCATAGTTGACAGTAAAGCGTGTTGGTCACTCACAAATGAGGCCTAAAACTGTAGTCAGAGGTTTTTTGTAGGACACGTCATTCTATGAAATGCATTGGATTGCGTTCCTCCCTCCTCCCCTGAGACACCTGCCAAACATAACACTAGTGAGTTGGACTTGACAAAATAACTGAAACACTTAGAAACTATCAGTGGCCGTAAAACTCACGTGGTCATTCGTGACTATATATATTATGCAGTCTGCAGACAAATACAAGAGTTTAACTTTGGCACAATGCTTAGGTCAACTATTCCCCTGCACGTATTCAGTGTTGACTCTTTTTTTTTTTTGGATGTGGCTTCATTAGTTTTCAGACTTCTGACCCCATGGCTTTGCAGGGTTCCCCATTGCAGTTGAGACATAATTCCATGTATAAAACATATGCAACTTAATACAAAATGGTCTGAAAAGTAAATAATGATCATATTTGAATGCCAGATGTAAGAGAACTGCAAACAAATGGCCAACAAGAACCAGAGTCATATAGATTTAATTATTTATCAAAACCAAGATGCTTTGTTGACATCTCCATGGAGTGGTATTAATGTATACTATAATTGAGCAGAATCTTTAAACATCGAGAAAAATAATAATAAAAACATTTGGAAGAACATATTTAGGCAAAGGAAAATAATTGTTATATATAGTGGTTCAATGCTGACCAATATGAGTTGTATAATAATGCAGAACAAAATATTGTGATATTGTACATATATACAAATACTGCAGACATGGAGATAAAATGACAAATTAAAAGCAATTTTTAAAGTACATTTAGTTGCATTAGAGTTAAGTTTAAATCAACAACCTTATGACCTCATAACATATATTAGTGTTAAATCAGCACTTTAAAACACACATCCCAACGATGTCTTTAAATGACAGATACAGTTCAACTATATCTATTCCTTCCTACCATATGTTTTTCTTTCCAACTCAGTCTCAAAGCCTGCACCGCACTGGGAAGGAACAGCTGTCATTGATGGCGAATTCAAGGAGGCGAAGCTGTCAGACTACAAAGGCAAATATCTTGTCTTCTTCTTCTATCCTCTGGACTTGTGAGTAATATCTCAGACACACATTATTTATCACCCTGTTTGTGATGTTGCGAATTTATTCTGATATAAATGTGCCGTTTTTTGTTCTGCAGCACATTTGTCTGCCCCACTGAGATCATTGCATTCAGCGATCGTGTGCATGAGTTCAAAGCCATCAACACCGAGGTGGTCGCCTGCTCCATCGACTCCCAGTTCACCCACCTGGCCTGGTGAGACCCTGTTCCCCTACACACACAATGTGCTCCAAGACTTGAATGGCTTCAGATAAAACCTAATAAAAAGACGTCCAATAGTAGATTCTGTAGTAGACTGACTAAAGTGTTTACGGTTGCATCTTAGGTTTTCTTTCTTGGTCGATTTATATTTTCACGACTATTTGATTCATTACTTGGTCTATAAATGGTAATAAATAGCAATCAGTGTTTCCCAAAGCCCAAGATGAGGTCTTCAAACATCTTGTATTATCCACATCTCAAGGATATTGACTTTACTCTCATATATGAGTAAAGAAACCAGAAAATATTCTTAATTAGGAACCTGTCATAAGAGAATTATACATTTCTCAAACAAACAAATACATCTATTTATCATAATTGATTTATTGTATAGTTGAGGGGAGAAGTGCTTCATTTAGTTTTACCATTTTTCCCCCATTGATTGTATATTTTTGGTTTAATAATAACTTTTTTACAACACCTGAAATGTTCCTTTTTCAATTGTTGTTACACTTTTTGTTATTAACAGGATAAATACGGCCAGAAAGGAAGGTGGACTTGGCCCAATGAAAATCCCTCTGCTGTCTGACCTCACGCACCAGATTTCTAAAAACTATGGAGTCTACCTGGAGGACCAGGGACACTCACTGAGGTACGATTACACAATTACATGTATGGCCTTTATCAAAGGTGTATAGGCTTAATCAAACCCTGTTATGTATCCTTGAGGTGCTTTAAAAATAAACAACAGTCGAAGCAGGCATGAAACACTTTTTAACTGTAGAAAAAACACATTTAATGTTTCTGCATGTGGACAAATATGCTCCATAACTTATATCTCATAGATAGCTGATTCTTTTATCAACTATGCAAATGTTTGAGAGTACAGATTACAGATTTCAGTAAATCTTAAATCTCACTCCGTGTCCCTGTGTCTCTCAGAGGGCTTTTCATCATCGACGACAAAGGCATCCTGAGGCAGATCACCATGAACGATCTCCCCGTGGGAAGATCTGTGGATGAGACTCTGCGACTCGTTCAGGCCTTCCAGTACACTGACAAACACGGAGAAGGTAAAAGAAGCTAATATAAACGCATTACCTGGCAACTAATAGCCAGTTGTTAATGTATTATTCAAGCTGTTTTTCTTGTGTTGACTCTAATTGTCTGCCATTTTTTTACAGTGTGTCCAGCAGGATGGAAGCCAGGCAGTGACACAGTGAGTATCAGTGAGGCTGTGAATGATTAGGATCATTTGTCACTAACTACGTTGTTCTATGATAGATACATAGACAAAGTAGCATGTACTGTATATGCCATTTAGTCGGTGTGCAACCAGTTACTGCAACAACTAATACTGTCTTTTTTTGAAAATATATTTATATTTCATGACTAAGTTAAAGGAAACAGACTGCCTCCATATATATTGTTCCCTCACAGCAGATTTGGGGTTGGAGAAATAATTGGGAAACACATGGCAGAATAGTTTATAGCATGTTTAGCATATTTCTATTGTCAAGTATAATATTATAAGAAAGTGTAATTGTGAACTAATTGAATTACTTCTCTCCAACAGATCATTCCCGACCCTTCAGGCAAGCTGAAGTATTTTGATAAACTGAACTGATCTGCGTTACACTCGGCCCAGTCTGTAAAATACCAAAAGTCCAAATAAAGTGTTTTCATAAAATGCTGTCTGTCTGCTATTTTAGATCCTTCTGAACAGTTTTTGCTAAGCTCATGCCTTTGGATTACATTAGTGCAGAAGCCTGCATCACACTGGGAATAAACAGCTGTCATGATGTGAATTCACCCAGTGGCTGCCAGATGCTCACTAGCAAATTCTCATTACAAAGAGTCATCCGTACATTAGCATACTTGCTGGGCCAGTTATGGGACGTTTGGACTTGTTTGCATTGTATAGTGTGGTTAACACAACAGACGGAGTCATTTAACATCTTCAAATAAGCCATACCTCATATGGTTACACAGGGAGATGTCTTGAAAAAAAGGTTTTCATAAAAGATCATGGGATGGTTATCAGCCCTTGACCTGTGGCTGTACTGTATGAGGATAGAGGTTCTGAAAAATAGCGAGACCATGCAGGGCTTTAAACGCAAACATAAACACTGTGGGGATTTTAAAACCAATTGTTGAGTGTTTTTACAGGCGTAATATGTTTTATTTGTACAACATTGGCCCAAGATTCTGGATGCTACATTCTCTACAAGTTGTAAGCAAGGAAAAGTGGCTTGGTTGATAACAAAATACAAGTAGTTACAGTGGTCGATTATCTGTCTTGTGGTGCGTCCATTTATTGTCCTGTATGGTCTACTGAAAGGTAATCATTTTGTTACGTGGTGTGCAGGTGAAGCTGGGTCACGGATGATGATTAAGGCCTTGCACTGACATCAGGTAGTACATTTCCTCTATTGAAGCCATCTGTGTCCCAATGATGTTTCAGAATGTCTTGACCCTGTTCAGAGCTAAAGTATGTGTTCCTGGTGCTTACTACGCTTTGATGCAGTATGTCAAGATAATCGCAGCCTTGTCTGTCCCCTCCAACTTTTTTATTGGAGGTACAACTCAGATTTGCATAAATAGATCAATAAAAGTTTTTTTGAGCAATGCAAATATTAGTTTGACTGTCTAAAAAGATGCAATTGGGACCTGCAGAAGGACAATTTATCATTACATGTATAGAAATTGCACTCTGTCCCATATGGGTTAATCTTTACTCAACCCTAAGCCATTAAGCGCCTGGCCTGTTTTTTTTCCAGGTTTGGTTAATCATTACCTTTTAAACAACATGCAAATGAAGTACAATGATCAACACAATGATAAGGGGAAAGAGGAAAAGAGAAACAGGATTTAAAAGACTGTTGACCATATATGGATTATTGAGTCACCTCCTCAGTGACATATAAAAGGGAACTCGGTGATGTAGTTCTGTATACAGCTTCTTTATTCTTTGTCGGGGGATGTACTCCTGAGTAGCGAATGACGAAACAAATTTTGCTTATATTCACATTTCGAGGATTAGTAAGAAAAGGGAAAAAGGGGAAAAGGAGAAAATGGCCAGTTTTATATTACGGAAAGCTGAACCCAGAGACGTGTCCGATATCATGCGACTCATAAAGGTAAGGGAAATGTTAAAGTCTAATATTTTTAACAAAAGGAAAATTGCGACATGTGACTGGATTACTGTAATCTCTGTTAATCAATTGTGTTTCAAGTTTGAAAACTGAATTTGTGTTTCTTTGTTTGCCTTTAAGGAACTGGCTAAGTTTGAGGAAATGGAGGAGAAAGTTGTGCTGACAGAGAAAGGTTCTTTAACCCTCTTTAACATTATGTGCATACATTTACCAGGATTTTCCCAAAACTATTTCAATCTTCTTCATACATTATAATAAAAAAAAATGTCTCTTGCAGATCTCCTTGAAGATGGCTTCGGAGATCACCCATTCTACCACTGTTTGGTTGCTGAAGTCCCAAAATTGCAGAGCTCAGAAGGTAAAAATATATCTAACACAAAACTCTTTACATTTAAATAGTCCTATTTCAAAATACTTTAACCTTGTTAGTTTTACCTCTAATTTATGGTGTTTTCTTCCAGGGTACACTGTGATTGGATTTGCCATGTACTACTTCACATATGACCCTTGGATTGGAAAGCTGCTCTACTTGGAAGACTTTTACGTCATGCAGGAGTTTCGAGGTGAGATTGTCAACATGTGCTGTTATATAATGGTAGTAAAGGCTAATGAGTAACAGAAAGAGTCTTAAGGGGGGAATTTTTTACATATTCTCTATTTCGATAGGTTTGGGCATTGGTTCAAAAATCCTGAAGGTCCTGAGTGAGGTATGATAACCAAGTGTTTATTTGGTGACAGATGCAACTCTATTCAACTGTGTTCAATACTTTATGTCTTTGTGTTTTACGTTTTGTTTTTTTCTCCCACTTTAGAAGGCAGTGAAGACTCGCTGTAGCGGCATGCACTTCATTGTAGCAGAAAACAACACAAAGTCTATTGAGTTCTACAAGCGAAGAGGAGCAGCTGATCTCTCGTCTGAGGAGGGCTGGCGTCTTTTTGAGATTGAAAAGGATGATCTGCTGAAAATGACTGCCAAATAAGAGTTTATGTGCTGTTGAATGACTTGTTCTGACAGTTTGTGATAGCAATAATCATGTTTTTTTCAGTCAGACATTTGACCCTGTTTCTGTAATGTCATCTGAAATGTAGCAAGACCTCTGCTGAATGAATACTGATGTTTTGGTAATAGCTACACTTCTGGAGGCCTGTAGTGAGTGACACATTTCTTGAGTCAAAAACAATAAACTTAATTTTGTGTAACAGAATTTTGGTTCCTTTTTTTAAATGAATGAATCAGCACCTCTCTCTTATGTTGCAATCCTTTGTGTTGCCCTTTCCCGCAGATCAGGAACACTAGAGTAGTTATTTGAAGAATACATCTGCTGTTTTTGACTTTTTGCATTTATATTCTGTTCTTCCATTACAATAAATCCATACATTTTGAAATAACTTCTGATTTAAAAGATACCCAGGGGGTACCAGAAATCTGGGATTTTCACATAATGATTTTAGTTTAGAGCTTGACGTAAGTCTGACTAGGAATTTACTTTTTGTTGTGGTATTACAAATATCCTGTTACAAAACAATATGTATCCTCATGTGCGAGTGGCTTAGAATGACTGGTCAAGTTTTGAGAGCCTTTAATTAGGTAAAAGAAAATGGCATGATACAAATTACCATTACAATTTACCATACAGATATAAATCAAATTTTAAACAAATATATTGTAAAACTACTCATGTAAAGTAATAAGTAATACATCAAATGTGTACTTAAGTAGTAGTAAATGTTTTCTTCCAGTGTTGTTGATGAGATGTGGAATATTTCCTTTTTGTTTTTTATTACCTATGCATGCATCACAAATATCTTATTGGATCCCATAAAATATTATCTTAAGATGACTATTGGACTTTTTAAGTTAATTGACCAGGAGGCTGAGGTTCTTGTGAAGAAACAGTAAGGTTTAATGCAGTCAGGATGAAACTGAAACTGTGATAGGGGTTTCATTGGAAACATATCAGCTATTTGTTTAAATGTTGGATGCTCTCGGTTTGGAGGACATAGTATAATCTCTTTTTATTATACACTTCTTTGCTGCATAGTTACACGTCTACTGTTGGGGAAACGAAGCAGTTCTCAGCCCATTACTAGCTACATCAACCTCGGGGCTCAAACTAATTAAAATTAACACTGCATTGCACGTCTTGACATAACCCGTTAGAACAGCGGTGCTCACATTATGGCCTGTTTGGTGCCTGCCGGTGTGATTTCCACCACAACCCTTCCGCATTTTCCTGCTGCTCTCGGGCTGTGACGTGTCGTGCTGACGGCGGCCTCGGAGCTGGAGGAGCAGGGGGCTGTAGCATGACAAGAACTGGCTCGAGACGTCCTGCTTTGCTTTCAGCCGAGCTCCAGAAACAACCCATAACCCCTCCTTCTCCGCTCCTCTCCGGCCCGCCCAAATAACACAAAATTCCCGACTGAATCCAGCCCGAGTCTGGGGGAACCAGGCGGCCTGGGAAGCCGAGGTGTGGACGGAGGCCATCCCTGCAGCATACATCTGGTACGCGGGTCATTTTTTGCACCGGGCCACCCGTTTGCAGAGCTATGTTTGCATTTGTGCGTGTCCGTGTGTCTTTGTTTTTGCATGCATGTGGTATTTTAATTTATTTCTTCATTGTCACCGAGAGGCCGCAAAGGGTTGGGCCTTTTCTTCTCAGGCCCGGGCCCCCATAGAGGCCGTAATTGGTAATTCAGGCCTATCCTGTTAGCTAGCATTCCCGCTGAAAATATGGTTTTATATGTATGTTGTATATCCATGGCTTACGTTATTTGGGATGAAATACAAGATGTAATGAGCGTTATAGCTATCAACAGAATCCAATTAGCTATTTCTCATCGCCGAGGTGTATTTTCATTAAGTGTTGAATTAGCATTCGTCCAGAAACCAAGCTAACAAAATGGCGGATGCTAGTGTGATGAAAATCGGTTGTAGAAAACGAGTGTGTTTACCGCTCCTCCCGCTAGCTTGCTGCTAAAGTGTAAACCTAGACTAATCTTTCTCATTTATTTAGGAGTTTTATCCTCCTTCGTGCATGTGGGTGCAACATTTCTTTGCTTAAATGTGTGTTTTGCAATAAAAATCGGGGCTTTGCGTGTGTAATCAGTGCTAAAGCTGCTCCAGTGGTCAGTTGAGGACATTACCGTTAATCAGCTCTTCGTGTTTTACACTGTGTCTAGTCTGGCGTGAATGTGTAACACAGGCTAAGTTAGTGAGACCACCCTGGTTTTAATGTGTTGGCGGCATCTTTTCAGTACACCGATGCCCTGTGTTGTGAGCCACATCTCCACACACCGTTGTTATCATTTTCCACCTGGAGGTGGGGGATGGTACATTCAGTGGAAATTAAATGGCACCCCGGCTGCATCGTTCACACCACTGTTTACATTTCTGCACCCCCCTGTGTGTAACGGGGAGATATTTCGATCGCACATTATCTCATCTCCATGGTGAAGGAAACACTATTGCCATTTTGGTTGAACGATTTGTTTAGTTGTTGTAGCTGATCTAGTGATGCAGACAGTGCAATTATGCCACTTGATGTCCTTTGCGGCAGACACAAGCTAACACTGCACAACTGTATTCCACATGTTAATTTAAATGCCTCCCCTCTCATATATACACTCAATTCACCTGTGAGGTCAGATTTATTTAAAGTGAAATACATATATTTTTCATCAGGTGACTTTAACAAATCAAATACAACTCTTCATAGAGGAACCTGTTCATTGCAGCAGCAGAATATAACACGGCAAAGTGTGAAGTAAAACAGAGTAGTTGGTTGGTTTTAACAAGAACTCAACTGACAGCATAATATTAATTGAAGGTAATGTATTTTAGGACTGAGTTGCTTTAGGTTTCTACACTAGTGTTGATATGATTGAGTATTGTGAAGTACAAATTGTAAATATATTTTATGCTAGTTTTTAATATATGGGTATACTGAGTTGGACACATTTGGGTCTCAAACCAATATGTAGTGAGGTTTGAAACTGTCTTAGTCCTAGAAAACGTCACATGTGCACAATGTTTACGTTATCAAGGTGACAGCAGTCAATTCCATGTTTTCCTGAAAAAAACCCTCAACAGACTTTAAAGATGAATATATGTTTCAGCTGTTAGGTGTTGCTCAGGCTGCAGTAGCTGTGTAACACAAGGCCAGTGGTCTCTTTATCATGTGAATCAAATTATCAACATATCGGCCAAACACACATTAAGTTGCTTCTTCAAAAAGCAAAGGATAACAGGCTCATTGTGGCTTTCCCTTGTCAGATCTGTTAAATAAATGACTTGATTCTGTTCAGGTTAACATTCACGTTCAAATCTTGTTTGAGAATCTTTGTTTCCTGGATATTTCAAATCACATAAATTACCATGAACACCTGATTTTGATTATGTTTAGCTTTGTTTCAAACAGTTTTGTTCACAAAGATCTAAACGGACTTTCTATCCTTTGCTTTCAGTGCTCCACTAACAAATGCAGTGTGAGGACAATGGATGAGCATGTCACCAGGCTATCAATACATTCTGAAGAGCCTAAAATAATATTACACGGATCGGGTAATTAGCCATTTATTTATTTTTTATTTACACAATGTTTGTTTTTGGTATGTGTCAATTCTTATTAACATGTTAGAGTTTCAAAGAATTGTCTGGTGTCTGTAGTAAACCAGTAACAACATTATTAGGCGCATTCACACCGCAGTACTTTTCCCACAAAGGTTCATGAGAACTTAGTTCATGAGAACTCTTTAGTTCTCATGAAGCCGCTGACGTCACTTCTTCTTCTTCTTCTTCTGCTTTGGGTTTACTGGCAGGCCGCAAACCACTTCACGGCGTATACTGCCGCCCAAAGTCCCCGGCCGGAAGTCCCCGGAGTTGGGGACTGGCTTCAGAAGAAGCTGCTGGGAGTCCCAGCAGCTTCTTCTGAAGCCTTCCGAGTAAATCGCCAGAACGCCGACACCTATTCATCTCCACCGCTCCCATGTTTTATTTTGTGTTGCCATAAGTTGCATAAGTTGCGAGGATAATAAAATGGCGGCTTCACAAAACTTTTTGGGAGTTTTACGGGGCGTGGTTTGCAATCCGCCCAGCCAATCAGACACAGGAACCTTTTTCTCCCACGAAAGTCCCTGCTCTCTAGCAGGGACTGAAAAGGGGGTAAAAAGGTTCTCATGAACTAATTTTAGTACCGGCTCTTTTTGGTGTGAACGCAACAAAAGACTTCTCATGAACTAAGTTCTCATGAACCTTTGTGGGAAAAGTACTGCGGTGTGAATGCACCTATAGTTACCATTTTAAATAAATCCACAAACACTAATATCGTTATCTGGGTAATCCTGCTTCTTCCAGATGAGGGTGGTGCCGGCGGGCAGGAGTTTGTTGTGGAGCTTCAAGAGACAGTGTTGGTGTCCGAAGGCGAGGGCGAAGGCGAAGGCATGGCGGTTCACAGGTTCGCGCCAGACGAGCTCGTCATCCAGGACGCTGTCGAGGATGTGGTATCTGAGTATGTGCACTGCGATGAAGACGAGGACGTAGCAGTGGAAACCTGCGTGATGGCTCTTGACGGCGATGAGGAAGGAGTTGCCATGGGAGACATCCCTGAAGATGGGCTGGACCCTGAGGAGCAGGACGACGACGACCAAGATGGCTGCGGGGATTATCTCATGATATCCTGTAAGTTAACACATGTTTTCGCTAAAACTCACTAATTCATTAACATAAATATCATGTAAATGCTCCCAAATTTGGAATTTATACTAATCTAAATGCTTATTGTCATCTTCGGTCTATGGGCAGGTTAGTGTTCTATCACATCTCTGCTCAGTGGAGGACTGCGGCTAATGTTAGTTTTTTAAATACGACCAAATTGTGACACTTGTGTTTTGAACTTGTGACCGTGCAGCTTCAGAGTTTGTGAAACATTTCAGACTTTCATTTTCTGTTTTATATTAAGCATCACTGGTTCATAGCCACATGATTAACACAAGCAGCCAGTATACATTAACTGCAATAATTTCAAGACAGTGTTTCCCACAGATCTAAAATATACTTGGGGGGGTGGTGGTAACGGGGGGGGGGGGGGGGGGGGGGGGGGGGGTCGAGGTGATGTGCCTTTGTGACGTGCAACAGCATTAACATTAACCTTTCTGTTGATGGCTTGTTAGCAGACCCTTCATGCGATAGAGTGAACAGGTACAGGCAGAGCCCATAGTGATAGCCCTATAGTTTAAATCTACTACCCACAAATAAACATATGGACATGGGTTACTATTTTAAAAAAAATGGTAAATGTATTTAGGAACCTATCCATGTGATTTTAAGTAGGGGTGGACCTCAAATCCTCTAGGGGATCTGGGGGCATGCTCCCCCTGTAAGATTTTTTTTTACATGTTGGAGTTAAATGCATCAATCTGGTGCACTTTGAAGGGAACATAAAGAGACTAGATCTATGGGAACACTGAAACAGAACTGTATACATTTCAATAATCATAAAATCATGGCCATAACCAATAGCATACCATTTCCAATATGAAAAAACACTGAAACTTGTTTATTTATTTATTTATGGTTCATTTATAGTTGGGAGTGTGTCTGTGCTCCTGAACCAGCCTCTCCCTCCTCTCCCCCTGCTCCTCTTTGAGGCAGCAGCAAAGACTAGTTTTAGCTCTCAACAAGTTTTTAAAGTTACCTTTTTTCACCTAGTTAATTTTTTTATTTGTATTCATGCATATTTTACTAATCACTACCCCCTCAAATGGAAATATGTGTTAACATAAATGGTGACCAAACCGTTTGGGACCCACTGAGAACTTAGACTAAGTTAACTATCTAAACACTCAGAGTCCTTTACCTCACCTGAGCTGATCCCGAGCTTGAATGACACAGAGAGACCAATCAAGGGCTTTGATTTATGATCTGTATGACAGTGGCCATGTCGGCAGGCCACATCATGTAGACAGCCGGTCACCCTGTGTGAGGCACGCCACTTAACAGGCCAGGCCATTGGGAAACCCCCCGGTCCTCCCGATGGACTGGGTACAGGACAGGAGGCGTAGAGCGAGGGATCATTGCCCACAAGTAAATCGATCGCAGATGGCGTCGTGACCGCGGACGAAAAAAAGGGTCGCGAAATATACTTGGGCGGACGTTAATATACCTGGGCGTCCCGCCCAAGTATAGTCTATGTGTGGGAAACCCTGCAAGAATAATTGCAGCAATTATTGCCCCACTGTAAATGTTCCTCGTTTCACAACCCAAAGTGGTACACACTCTGTAAATGGGTATGATACACACTCGGTGGTCATTACCACCAAGTGTTCAATTTAATCTCAACTGCTAGTGTGTTAGTGGACCCGCAGTAAGAAATGTTGGACTCAATTCGTATTTCAGTAGTATTGAGGAACCAGAACTCCTTCTAACCCAACATTTTTGGATTTAATTGTTGCCACTTTATCTTAGAACTGACTAGCTAATATGTATTACTATTCAAAAGAGGACTATTCAGAAGAGATGATGTACAAATTGAAATGAGTGAAACTATTTCCAAACTTCATCTTCACTTTTAAATAATAGTGACAAGGTAATAATAGTGTTAATTTCGTCAGCTATTTTTTAATTTAGTTTTAGTCTTAGTCCTGTGTTAAATTTCGTTTTTAGTTTTAGTCGACTAAAAGTCTGAGCATTTTAGTGTTATTTTAGTCAAAGAAAACTAATTATTTTAGTCTACTTTTTATCAATGAAAACTGACATTTTAGTCATCAGATTATATAGAACATTTCAGTGAAACTAGTCTAGCCAAAACCAATAATTTGTCATTTTAGTATATATAAATAAGATTATATCTTGTCCTTATTTGATGAAAAACACAGGTTGAATGATTAAGAAGCTTTGCAGAGAGTATCTGGTCAGGTTTGTGGTGTTTGTACCAGCTGTGTTATGGCCACATTGCTTCCCTTCTGATAAAACAATGCATTAACTTTTTTTCTCCGCCTCATTGTAGCGAAAATGGGCCCAAATATCACATCGTTTCTTTCTCCCAAGCAGTGGTGGCTTTAGACTTTTTCGTTGTCAGTCATTTTGACGGACAGGATCGTAACATTTCCGTCATAATCCATTATTATCCGTCGAGTGCACAATTTATCACTCACTCGCGCTGACGGGGGGCTATTCGGTTAACGCGAGTGCGACCACTGCTCCCAAGCCCTGTTGTTGCCATTTTATTTTCTGTTAAATAAGGTTAGTTAGACCATGAGTTAGACCCGAGTCTTCCTGACAGTTCATATTTTGCCGCTGCCCGGTGTAATTCAAATCTACCGCCGCGCGCAGCACACACACACAGCTGCTGCCCAGCCGCAGCACGGACACACAGCTGCTGCCCAGCCGCAGCACGGACACACAGCTGCTGCCCAGCCGCAGCACCGGAAGTGGAACTGCTGGGAGAAAAACTGACTATCAGAGATGTAACGTTATCTTTGATAATATTTCGTCTCCTCATTTTTCGTCAACGAAAGTAAAGAGAGATTTTGGCATAGTTTTTATTTAGTAAACTACATTTTCGTCTCGTCACTTTTCGTCAACGACATTGCATGATGATTTCGTTAGTTATTGTTTACTGCCGTCGGTGCCGTCTCGTCATCGTCTCGTTTTCGTTATGGAAAAAAAGGTCGTTGAACATATTTCGTCATAGTTTTAGTCAACGAAATGAACACTAGGTAATAAGCATTGATGTTGTCAGAAATGACTCTCGACCCCTTGCATCATGTCTCTAATGAAATGTGTTGTGTGTGTGTGTCTCCTCGCTAGTGGACGAAGCTGGCAAAATGGTGTCCGAGGATGGAACAGAGGTCACAGTGGAGGGAGCTGTGGAGGACCAGGAAGTGGAGAAGGATGAGGATGGGCAGGAAGTGATAAAGGTCTACATCTTCAAGGCTGATTCTGGCGAGGATGACATGGGTGAGTTGCATTTAAACCTGTAAGAAAGTGATTGCCACTAAATACAAAATAAAAGAATATGCTTTATGCTCACAGTTAAAAGTTGTTGTTACATCTACCACTCGGCTCTAATAAGATCATAGTAATGTATTTAAATTGTCTTGTTTATACAAAGAACCTTGATCTGCTGTAGAAGTTATTAGCCAATGTTATTGTTTCTGGCTTCAACTGAAAACTGGTATCTTCAGGTCTTGAAATTATTTTAAATGTTATTTAGGTTCCAATAACGAGGGCCTCAAAAGTCTTAATAATGATTTGCTATTATACTTGAGGCGATATAGTGAAAATGGTGGTGAGGGCTCAGTCTCTCTGGGGTTGAAAAATAATGTGATTTTCCAAAAGTGGAAGATTTAAATGGTTTATTTGAATTCTGCAGGAGAATCGGTTGACATCAGCGACGGAGACACGGAGAGTGTGGCGTTAACAGAGTCTTCAGGCCTCCGAGAGAAAATGGTCTACATGTCTGTCGGGGATTCTCATCACAATCAAGGAAACCACGGTGAGTCTGTCGGATCCAACGACTGTGATGATATCATGAAGCTATATGTATCTAGTTTTAGGGCTTGTAAATGTAAGGCTCCTCTACAGGTGGGTCCAAAGTTTATATAGAAGTGGTGGGATACCCAGTAACTCATGACCACTTGTGTGACAGTGTGTCTCTAAGCAAGGACTTCATGCCTCTGGCCTGTACGGCTGCTTATGGCCAGCACCCCTTTTATTAAATTGATTTTAAGACAGCACTGGAAGCCACTGCATCAACCCCGTCTCTGAGTGTCTTAAAAAGCTTTACAGATGCCAGTGTTGTTTATTTTCCTGGTTTAAGACATTCTGTTGGTCTCACAGGTGCAGATGATAGCGAGAGTTGTGAAAACAGAAACGGTGCCGCCAGCGCTCTGCTGCACATCGATGAGTCTGACGGGGTGGATGAGATCAACAGACAACGCAACAAGAGCAGGAGACGGTCGGAGCCTCGCCAGGTGCAGACAGGTAAGAGCAACACGAAGTTCACGGATTGTTTTATAATCGTTGCACAATACAAATGCTGTTTAAATCATAACTCCTAAAGTGGAGCTGTTCAAAGCTCAGCAAGAGCTGAAATGATACTTGAACCCTTTTAAATAAACGTTATTTTGTATCACTTTGAAATGTTTGGTGTCATCTCTGTTTCCCTCCAGCCATCATCATCGGCCCGTACGGTCAGCCTCTCACAGTTTACCCCTGCATGCTCTGTGGTAAAAAGTTCAAGTCACGGGGTTTCCTTAAACGCCACACCAAGAATCACCACCAGGAGGTTCTGACGAGGAAAAAGTACCAATGTACAGACTGTGACTTCACCACCAACAAGAAAGCCAGCCTCCACAACCACATGGAGGTACACGCGCTGAGCAGCAAGGCCCCTTTCGAGTGTGAAGTGTGCGGCAAGGAGTTCCACCAGCAGGCGGCGCTGTTCTCTCACAGATTGCAGCACCACCACCGAGAGCCCAAGGGCCAGTCGCCCACAACGCCAAACAAAATGCATAAATGCAAGTTCTGTGAATATGAAACGGCCGAGCAAGGGCTGCTCAACCGGCACCTGTTGGCCGTCCACAGTAAGAGCTTTCCCCACATCTGTGTGGAATGTGGAAAAGGCTTTCGACACCCTTCGGAGCTGAAGAAACACATGCGCACGCACACGGGCGAGAAGCCCTACTCCTGCCTGTACTGCGACTACAAGTCGGCCGATTCCTCCAATCTCAAGACACACATCAAAACTAAGCATAGCAAAGAGATGCCATACAAATGTGAGCGCTGTTTCCAGACCTTTGCCGAGGAGGAGGAGTTAATGCAGCACGGACTAACGCACGAGGAGAATAAGACCCACCATTGTGCCCACTGTGATCACAAAAGTTCCAACTCGAGTGACCTGAAACGCCATATCATATCCGTTCACACCAAGGACTATCCACACAAATGTGCCATCTGTGGTAAAGGCTTCCACCGACCGTCTGAACTGAAGAAGCACTCGGTGTCGCACCGGACCAAGAAGCTTCATCAGTGCCGCCACTGCAACTTCAAAATTGCAGACCCTTTTGTTCTCAGTCGCCATATCTTGTCCGTGCACACAAAGGAGCAACAGTCCTCTCCTGAAAAGAGTGAGTCGGGTAAGAGGACAGAGACACACACTCCTGTTGTGTCGCCTAAAAAGTCTGCAGCCAGCGCGTCCAGCGCCGCTAGCCAGGCCAGCAGAGTCAGCGCAGCCAGCTTAGCCAGCAGTGTGACTGTCGTCATTGGCAAAGGACAGAAAGAAAGGAGAATCTACCAGTGCCAGTACTGCGACTACAGCACCGGGGACGCTTCGGGGTTCAAGCGGCACGTGATCTCCATTCACACAAAAGACTATCCGCACCGCTGCGAGATCTGTTCGAAAGGTTTCCGACGACCCTCTGAGAAGAACCAGCATATCATACGCCACCACAAAGATGTGGTGCAGGAGTGACTCTGACCGAGCCAAAAACTGTGCCACACAAAGAACAATGTCGAAGCAACCATCACACCCCAAACTCTGCACCCTCAGCACCACACAGGCCACGCTCAAACAATGTGGCATGTGTGGTGCTGCACTGAGTCCGTTCTGTTGTTTTGACCTTTTTTTGATCGTCAGCCTAATGTTTGTTCAGAAATGTATACACATGTACATAACACAATGCTCTGTCCCGAGTTAGCAACAGAACCCCTCTGTAGACTTGCACTTTTAACTGCATGTCCCTTTGCTGGTGACGGTGTGCATGGCAGATTGTGCAGATGTCTCTTTGTAGATATACATTTTTTTTAATTTTCAGGCAGCAATCAGTTGTCAATCACAATGGTCCTAATTATGTCTCAAGACTGTTCGATTTGCAAAACGTTTGCATGATTTTGTCATAATTTACTCAACAAAGCAGTATGGATTAGCAACATTCTCCCAGTAGCACATCCTGGTGAACATCATGATGAATGCTGTAATCAAGTTATGTGTGATAAGAATCGTGTGTGTATGAGCAGGCCTGTCACGATAACTACTTTTATTGGACAATATATAATCACGGAAATTATTTTAATCAACAATATTGTAATTTTAAAACTATTTTATGCCACTCTTAAATATAATATATTGTAATGCCCATATAGAAAGTTTAGACTTTGAAATTTCATTGTGAAAAAATACTAAAATATCTTAAATTGGATAAACCACAACCATATCAAGCTCTGATAGCAAAATGAACTTTGCTCAAGTCTTAAAATGGTAATGAAAAACTCGCCATTAATTCTGGATATAATGTTGGCGATATTCTTATGTTAAAAAAACATGTTTGTTGTGTTTAGCAAAAATGGACATTCAAGATTTTTGTCATAACATATACAAAACTACGGTGTCATTATGTAATGTATGACAAACTTAGGCCCCGGCTACACGAGGACGAAAACGGTCGTTTGCGTTACTGTTTAGTGTCATATAGACCGTTCGGCCACACGAGGACGACCGAATACGGCACTAAACGACTGAGGAAACGATAACGGGTCCCAAGGTGGATAGAACGGCATACGCAACGCTCTGGGGGGTCCAACGGCTCCGTGTGTACGCCCTATACGATCATTTTCTGATGATGATGAGGCAATAGCCCCGCCTCTCCCCACCTCTGCTGCTCACCCCCGCGTCAAAGTAAACTGCACACTGAATTCAGATTATTTATCTTTCTCTCGATATGGACATAAACGCGAGTGAAGTCTAATCTGACAGGACGGAGACACCTCTCAAACTACCTAGTTATAAATATGTTTATTTGTACTGTCGGCCATGTCACTCATTACTGGATCAGCTGCTGCATGAGACAGACACTGACGCTGTCCGAAGAGAGGGAGGAAAAAGAGAGGCTCCGTGTATTTTTATTATTATATTATATAGAGTCGTTATTCATTTGTTTTAAAGCTCAACAAAGAAGACCTTTGACCGACACTTTTATAATTTTGTCGGAAGATTTAAACTTTAATACACGTTGACTGGCGAAAAACTCTGCCCGGTTCCCTCGGCCCCCACCACGGAGAATAAACAGAAGGGCAACCATGCTTCTTCGCTGCTTTTGTGGAGGAAGTTACAGCGCCACGTACAGGCTCCTGCATATGTACTGCAGCTTCTCCAGCGGTTGGAGCTAAACGGAGCGGTCTCGTGTGGACAGACACGATCCGGTGAATATTGCGTGTGGACGGAAGCTTTTTTGCGTTTGCGTTAATCCTATGCGTTTAACCGTTTTCGTCCTCGTGTGGCCGGGGTCTTAGATTGCAGGTTCCTCAACAGTGCAATTACAAGACATTAAAAAAAATATTAAAAAAACAATAGAAACAGCTGAGCTCAGGAATAGTCTTATTGCCTGTGGGATGAAACTGTCTGGTGGTTTTTAGTCCGGATGCTGCGGTAGCACCTGCCAGACGGCAGCAGACAGAACAGTTTGTGGCTGGGGTGATGGGGGTCTTTTGTAATCCTGAGGGCTTTCTTCCTGAGCCGCTGGGAGTAAAGGTCCTCCATGGATGGCAGCTCCGTTCTGGTGATGTGCTGTGCAGTTTTCACCACCCTCTGTAAAGCCTTACGGTTGAGGGCGGTGCAGCTGCCGTGATGCAGCCAGTCAGGATACTCTCTATGGTGCACCTGTAGAAGTTGTAAATATCCATATATCTTACAATAAGTCGATATGTAATTATTGTGACAGTCCAAAGTGTGAGCGAGAGGAAGAATGAATGAAAAACAAAGCATCTGCTGTGCTTCCTGGTGCTCTGACCCCACCACTCTGTTAGCATTTTTGTTGTGTTGCTAAAAACACAAGGCTGGTTGTGTGCAGAAATTATAATTCTTGGCTTTGTACACAGGATCATGAACTCATGGATGTGTCACGATGGTGATGAAAGTTCACATATGCACCTCTATCACAATGCGACCAATACCCCGTCATACCGATGAGATGTCAGTTTTAAGTCAGTACTGTGAGTTGTTCAGAACAAGTGCCCAAAGCAGTAAAGACGACCCCCTGAGTATTTTGATTCCAATAATGCTACCTAGAGAGTGAGATCCCATTTGTTTGAAAAGGCTCATTTTGTTGTGATGACCATTAGAACTGATGACAAGCTTTTCAGGCAGATGGTTTATTTTTCAATGATCAAGTCAATCATGTCGATACATCTATTACATCCCAGCTTTTCTACTAAAACAGGAAAGGTGCACTGTCTGGCCTCATGAATCAAACAGTGTAACTGGAGCTGCTGTTATTAAAACTATGGACAGAATCTTTGTCTCGCCCTCACAGATGTACTCTTGCCCGTGGAAAGGTATATCTTTTTAGATTCAACTTCAGAAGACAGGTGCTGGTGGTGTACTTGTACTATGGCTTTTTACCCTTTTGTTATCACCTGTGATTATTCCTGTTTTTATATTTATTTCATTTACAAGTTGTTGTATAGTTAAGTGTAACTAGACTTCTATGGGACGTAAATTATTGTTTTGTATACAAATCTGTACAAAGCGTGTAGATGTAAACACTTGATAACAAGGAAATCTGAACTGTGTTGTTATGGATGTACTTCAACGTATTTGTTAAAAAAAGTAATAAAAGCAAAGTATTTTAGATGTTTTGTCTTCTATTTTCACACATTGTCGAAGGCCCATCAATAACCTGTTTTGAGAGATTTTACCTTTTTACTGTGCGGGATAATTTGTTCTTCATACGGCTGTCTTTACAGTCATCTGCTAAAGGCCCAAAGTTTCTGTGATCACCTCAAATCTAACATTTTTTCTGGTAAACAAACAAGTTATGTTTACAGTCAGTGTAACTGTGTCTTTAAGGTCTGACCAGGGCATACAACCATTTATATAGGCCTACTGTTAAAAATGTGCAAAGCCGAAAACTCTTAAAAGTTGGAAACCTGCATATCTTGTCGTTGGTGCACAATCTGGATTTTTTAAAAGGAGTAATTCAGCTTTATTGTGCAAAAAAAAAAAAATCATCAGGCACATTCAAAGCAGAGCATTTGTCTCAAACATGTCTGAAGTACATAAAGATTACAACTGCTGGTGAATTAAAGCAAAGCATATTATATTGAAACCAGGCTTTACATTGTTTAGTGGCATTATGTTCTTAACACCACATCTGAAAGAGCAGTGTAAACAAAATAAAATGAGTATTGGCGTTAAACACCGATAGATGTAGAATATTCATGAAGCCTTCAGAAAGCTTGTTGACATACAGACACCGGAGCAGGAAGTTAAGCAGCTGGGCACTCCGCTGGAGAGGTAAAGAGAAACAGAGTAAAGCATGATTGTGCGCCTTAATCACAGGTTGTTGGTTTTGTTTACAGGAAACCTCTCCATTTATATGAGACATACCATTTTTGGGAAGGAAAGCGATATTCTCCGGCAGGACACCAGTCCCCAAGGAGAACTGCCTGAACCTCTCCAGCAGGTCGGCGCTGAGCTCCACTCCACGGCCTGAAGCACCACAGGAAGTTAGTACATGACTGCATTTAGGATTACCGTTATAAAGTCTAGCATCATGGCAACTTTACCATATAGTTTGGTGACAACGGTGGGATCACTCCCTTTGGTCTTAATGGTTTGAGTCAGCGCGTACTCGTCATACTTCACATCCACCATCGACATGTCGTTCACACTGCCCCAGCCTGATGAGGGGAAGAGTTCATGGGAAAGCAGAACAATGGTGGGTTTGTTGTGATTGTTGCTGGCCTCTATGTGTTTAGTGTGCATTGGTGCACTCACGCTCACTTGTGTACGTGAGCTTCCCGGGCACATCGGTCTGCTTGGCCAGGTTGTTCATTCTCCAACAGGAGCCATCAGAGCTGCCAAGAAAGCATTAAAACATGACCTTTCCTATATTACCTCCTTGTATTCCTTGACATCTTGTGGTCATATGCTGCATGTTTGCAAAAAGGTTTTAACATTCGACCTGCAGTGCATTTCTTGTTCTCTGTTTATCTTGTGTTGTGTGCCGTTTTGTTTAAGCACTTTGAGCTGCACCTTATGTGTAAAAAGTGCTAAACAACTTTACTATTATGTATTACTAAAAAACAAGTCTAAATATAATAAGAAAGGTAAAAAGTGACAGTGCAGTGTGTGATATGAATAAAAAGCTTCAGTCTTGATTATAAAATAAGTGAAACTTGCAGCGGGCTAGTGGTTTTTCCTGGCAGTTCTTCCAGACATATGTAGCATAATTACTAAATACTGCTTCTCCATGTTTAGTTGTGTCTCTTGGCTGCTTTGTCTCTCCTCACTTATTTACCTGAGACTGGCGTAGGACATGTCCAGGTCCCCATCAGCAGTCGGGGTCAACATGGCGGTGCCCATCTTCATGTCGGCTTTGCGGTTGACAAACCACTGGGCATTCGTGGCAAATCCTATCAGGTACCACTTCCCTGCCATCTGTGGACACACACAAGGCGAACAATAGAGTAAGTGTTGACCGGTTAGGTGATAGCAGTTTTTTTTAAAACATCACAATTCCTCTGAATGCAGTGGTTAAAAGTACTGTTTAATATTGTACTTCATACTCCATTACTTCTATCTAATAACTTCAGTTTCATTACAGATTCATATTAATTATACATAATACAGTCAGTAAATAATTTAACATGGACTATTACTTTAAGTTAAGACTGATTGTATGTCCCATTGATTAAAATCACAAGCTACAGCAGTTCAATTAGTAAAATAAAAAAGAACCTCCTGCTTTACCTGCTGCAACATTAAAATGTTTGACACATTAATTCATACAAAAATATTATTGATTTTACAAAATATAATTAAAACATTTCTCATTCTTCATTATGAATACTTTTAAGTTTGATACTTAATTTCTTCTAATGCTTTTGTACTTTTTACTGAAAGCAGGACTTGTAACAGAGTATATTTACACTGTAGTAAGTATTAGTACTGCTTCTTAGGTAAAACAGAGCTGCCTAAATGCCACCATGCATGTTGCAAAGATATTACAAATACACAACATTAAGGTACACAGCTGTTTGTACCATTTTATGTATGCTTTTTTATGCGTTTAAATGTGATAATCGCCAAGTTGCACTAGCCAGCAAAATCAGATAGATAGAGTTTTAACAAAAATGCAACAGGCACCATAAATCATTTTATGACTAAGGTTAAAAATACTGCTTATAATCCACCATCTCACCCCCTGTATGTTGAAGTCAGCCTGCGGTACGACTTGAGCAGAAACGGAGAAGGAGCAGAGCACGGCTCCCAGCACGGTCAGCAGGAGAGTCATGGCTACTGAGTGTTGGTGAAGATCTATTGTTGAAGTGCTGCTGGCGACCAGTTATATAGACAGCACACACACACACACACACACACACACACACACACACACACACACACACACACACACACACACACACACACACACACAGACAGACCCTGGAGCTGGGATGGGTTCAAACACGTGAAGCTTACCAAACAGTTTCCCTGCCACAAGGAGTTTTTAGCCCGGGCAGAATTAGATCAGAATAACAAGAAGAAGAAGTGTATCAGAGGTCTGTATTCTGTCTGCCACATGATAAGATTCATGAAGTATTCTATAATGCAATGTCCTTTTGCAGCCTCCTATTTGTGAGCGTAAAAACACAGTAACCAAATGGTAAACAAAGCAGTGGCTGACCTCCAGGGCTTTCTGTGGCACAGAGTCAAATTCTCTGTCAGCAGTTGGGATGGTAAATCAAAGAGACAACAGAAAAGAGAGAAACATATTGAGCTCCTAATCATGCATCATCGACATGTGATGAATTGAAACTCTTTTTAGTGTCTCTTTAATGGGTTTAAAGTATGGAAAAACGTCCTCCTTTGTCCTTAAGTTACTGATATAAAGGAGAACAGGGACTGACTGTTTGTACAGCTGGCTGCTCCCTCACAGTAGACGTCTTTCACATTTAGTCTCAAATATCACTCAGTAGCTGTTCTGCAGCCATTGAGAGCCATTAGAGTAGTTATTCAAGAGGCGATCAAGTGGAAGAATGGAAGTTAAATGGAGTTTAAAACAAGTCTCACTTTTTTTGATAAAGTTAAATGGGAAATGATTGGAAAGCAATTGTAAACAATCCAACCAGGGCCAACATAGAGACAAGAAGTTGTAAATAGGGTAAACGCCAGCCTACTAAATTGACCTTAAGGTGAGATTGTTATGTTTCTGTTATAGTGTTTTACTCAGCTAGTTATTTGAAATGCAGTCATTTAGCACATTTCTATTCTCCCAACATCTTAAAGGGCTTTTCCAACATTCACCTCTTCACACATGCATACACACACTGAAATCATGGCTGCAATATATTAGCTAATCCTATTTTCATTCATGAATTTATCTCAAAATGTTATTACCTACACCTTTCAGATTCAGAGTGTTGACACCAAATGTAATCAATAAATAAGCAGTTATAAGCAGCCCACACACATACAATACTTGTTATAATAATTCATAATGACTACTTTACTTTTGCTACTTAGTTTATGTAATGCAGATATGTCGTACTTTTTTAAAGCCTTTGCTTGTAATTCTAACTTGTTCTCACTTTTGTGTGTGACCTCTCAGCTTTCTGCAGGATCTTTGCTGCACGGATAAATATGAATCCATGTGTGATGAGGAGGAGATGAATTAGTGTAATGAGTCGAGAAGTCAGGTGCAGGCCGATACATGCGCCAAGCAAAGATTCCTCAGACCTAAATACCTTGCCAGTTTGAACAGGTAGTTATTCTGCCCCGAGAAAACTAATATTAAAAAAAAATGGCAGAGCAGAATTTAATACATGTTGTAAGACTCTCATTCAAAATGACAGTCACATTTACCGGTAAATACCAATGCAGGAATGTACTTCTCCTTTCAACAAATGTACATTCAGACAAAGTATGTATTTATTGTTTAGACATCATGCAGATTCGCAAAGTCTCCCACTAGTTGGTATTTAATCGCCTGAATAATTCAAAAGCAGCATTAGCCTTGTACCAAAAGACTTCTCCACTTTATCTCACTTTCTATCAATATTTTAAACTTTCCATTTAATTGCTTCAGTTTCTGTGAAACTGTAAATCATCAGAGAGAAGATATGACAGGTCTTTGCCCAAAGCAAACACAGTCTCAAAGAGTCTCTGATACATCTGGATACATCTGTGTCAGGAGCGTCAGAGCAGGCATGCAAACTCACTGAACATACACACTGTAAATACAATGAGAGAGGAAAGTCCAACGGTATATTTGTTATATAAATTACTCATCACATAATGGGATAATCAATGAGGCTCTGCTAAACTCAATCATTTTCACAGGGTTAGACGCATTGCTGGGATTCAATATACTTAGATCTATTAATTGATTTAAAAGTAGCAATACTACAGTGTTAAATTACAAGTACAAGTCTCACTCGTTAGCATGAAGATATACCAAATACCAAAAGTAGTCTGAATCATATATACTAAATAATGTAATTATATATGCATTCATGTGTCCCTTTAATGTTGCAGCTTGTAAAGGTTGAGTTCATTCACATAACTAAAATAGAAATATATAATAAACTATTTAAATATGTTGACTTGTATCACAAAATATAATTAAACAAAGGAATATTTTAATAAAATAATAAAATAAATGTAGTTGTGTTGTGTGAGATTTTCCTCTCGTATTAAGTACATTTTGAGGTACTTGTACTGCTATTTTGTACTTCTACTACAATACAGAGTTAAATGGTGTATTTTTACTCCACTACATTTATTTAATACCTTTTAGTTACTTTACAGATTTGGATTAATGATGTGAAATATAATCAACACTTAAAAATGACTTTAGTTACACCTTGAGTAAACAAGCTACCCTGCAGTATACAAAGTCATTTAAACTTACTGCACCTTTACCAGCTTTGAGAACACTTTAATGCATCAATTATTATAATCCAACATATAATATATTATTCTGAAATGGACCAATCTGCATAATGAGTACTTTTACTTTTGGTACTTTAAGTATATTTTGATGCTAATACTTTTCTACTTTTTACTTTTGAATGCAGGACTTTTACTTGTAACAGAGTATTCCCACACTATGTTACTTCTACTTTTACTCAAGTACAAGATCTGAGTACTTCTCCCGTCTCTGGATATACTCAAGTAAAAAAAACAAGAACCTTAAATGGCACAGATGTTGCTTCACAACTGGTCATGAACGCTAATATAACATATTCAAAACTACTGTTAATTAGATTACCTAATTTTACAACAGATGTGCACGTGCTGGGGTGGATCCTATAATGTTTAGTACACACTTGAAGTCAACAGTGGAGAAAGTAAAGAGCAGATTGGCCTGAGGATGGCGCCAGAGGAGAGGGGCTGCTGAGACCCTGCTGTGGAAGGAAGGAGATATGATCATTTCGTTTTTGGGAGAAGGGGTGGGATTAAATAAGTATACATTTCTTCCCACCCCTTTTCGGATGTGTAATTAGGTAGATCATTTGTTTATATATAATTTGTAAGTCAATCATATTTTTACAGCATCATAACTCTCTTGTTTCAATTCATTATTAATATTATTTTGTGTGTTATTGTATTACACGTTCGAAATAAATCAAATCAAATATAGCGATCTTCTTCATTTGATATCAGTATGGCGAGCTCAATGGATATTTTTAAAGTACAATAAAAAAAGATGTATACTTTGCAATCTTTTTCTAAATCTGGGTTTTACTTTGAGCCCTAATTCTTTTTTCAATATTATTTATTTGATCCTTTTGTTGTCCCTACATTTATTTCTTTTTTTCATTGTACCATTATATTATTTATGTTTTGTCTGTGTTGTTTGAATCTTACCATGTAAAGCATTTGTGTCTGTATCAAATGCTGTGTAAATAAAGTTGAGTTGAGTTATTTTAAATGGAGGACATTGATTTAAACAGCTTGATCGATTTCTCCACCCAAGATGTGCATTATGAGAATGGGGAATAATGAGAAGTGTATGGGGTGAAAACACTAGAGTGTATAATGAGAAAACATACACTGTTCAGAGCTGTTTAATCTGATTGGATTTGCGTACACACATTAGTCATGGATTGTGACATTCAGCTTAACCCTCCTGTTATCCTCAGATTGACTTTACACCCTTTATCCTCTGGGGTCAATTTGACCCCAGTAGTTTAAAACTCAAGACAATGATTATATTCCACATTTTAACCAAAATGTATGTCTCTGGTGCTTACCTTAGTTGACTACCTAAATAACTATTTAAATAAAACATTACCCCAACCTTCCCCCCCACAGACCCCTTTATACATCCAGAATTCCTATTATGTGACTATCGAAAAATATATAAATCACCATATTGAAATAAAAATGTTAAAGTAAGATCTTTTTGATGTTGTTAAAAGACCAATAACTAAAGCAGAGGGTAGGTTTTTTTTTTACAATGATACATTTGCATTTAATAGTCACCTCAATATCATCCTACACAATCAACACAAATATGTGTACAATGTTTTGACATTGACATGACATTTGTATATGTTTTATATGTTTTATACTTCTAAAACAGCCTGGGGTCAAATTGACCCCAAGGAACACCGATGCGTACAAAGTGCGTACAGCACATTTAAAAAAGATCTTCACGTTCATTTTATGTTTACCCATTAGTCCTCACTAAATTAGGGAAAGTCATGAAATACTAAGCAAAAAAAATAATGTGAACCATTTTTTTAGATATGTTAAACATTGAATGGGGTCAAATGGACCCCAAGGATAACAGGAGGATTAATATAAATAAACAATATCTGTAATTTACTTCTTACCAACAAACAATCCCTGCATGTCTTAAAAGAAGGAGGTCTGGACAATGTAGACGGAGCACTACTGGTGCTATTAGACAGTAATGGACAACATTAAAAAACCAATATCACAGAGCGCTGCAGAGAGAATATTGAGTTATTCAGATTGCATCAGTCATAACAGTAAAGATGACTGTAGAGTCTACAGGAAGTTCACACTGCACCCCCACCGCAGACTCACAGGGGACGTATTCCTCCGTGCCACTTTGGGCCTCTTTTGTTGTCCATGCATGGACATTTTAAAAGTGAGGTTTTATAAAAGTGAGTTGTGGGATATATAAAGTGTGACTTGCACTCAGAAAATCTCCACAGGGGGGCACCCAATGCTGGAACAGATCTGGAAGCATGCCTGTTCTTCTTTTACGTGAACCCCACATAGTATTTTTCTTTATTACAAATGCTTTGCTCAATTGTTTTAAATGAACATGGTCAACAATAGTTTCCAAGTCAGTTGGACAGCACTATATTTACATTCTACCTGCAGACTGAAGCCTGTACGTTATATTTCCTACAACTATTTGCAACAGGCTTAGATTTCAGACTATTTGAACTTGCACATGTGTTGGTAAATGTCACCTTAAATCACCAAAGGTCCTACTTTAGTAGAACTTACACACATCAAACGTCATTCCTATCTTTACTTCTGAATGTAGAGATTTGTTGAAATGCCATCATTAGCCCTTCATCATTTCTCTTTTCTGAAACCCTTTCAAGTATTGTCGTAATTGACTAATTAATCGTTCAAGGTGATAATTTGTTGTTATAATCCTATCCCATGAACACAATGTATTGTGTGAAAAAGCTGGAAAGCAATGAGCATCAGAAGACATGGGCTGATAAGAATGACATGAGATACACAGCTTCACACATGCTGTTATCAGTCAACAGTTGTCATGATGTTGCAACAGAGTACAATGTGAGACTAGACCAAGTCAGTGAGGCTGTAGCGAGGAGAGACCGGGGCGTATGCCATGGTGAGGAACTCGGCCCAGTTCTGACAGAAGCCACGTGAGAACTGTCCCGTGGAGATGACGAGCCCCCCCAGGCGCCGCTGGCCTGTTTTGTTCCTCAGAGCCAGCTGAGCCTCCCGCTCCGTCACATTCAGGCTGATATTCACAACTTGCACCAACCACATGTAAAACAGCCCACCTGTCACAATGCTGCTGTACCAAGCACAGGTGAAGCAAAGTGCCGAGCTGTAGAGATGAAGTAACGAGTCAATGAAGCATAACAGAAATATGTAAGAAATGTAATAAAAAGTATACCAATTATTACAGCTGAGTGTTTGTATTACTTCAACCAACTAACTATATACATTTTGCTAAGGGTTTATGATGAACATGGTTGGAGTGGATCTGACAATCAGTGTTCATATATCTTCATTTATAATAATTATGACACAATCTAAGGCACAGAAGGAGGGAAAAGTGCAATGTTTAAAATGTGTATGCACACCTTGTCAAAAGTGTGTCTCAGTAACAAATTAACACCAATTAATATATTAGTAAATTACCACAATTTAACTGACAAGTTAAAAATGTGTTTTTCTTTTATAAACAGTTGTAATTTCACAATTTCCAAAGAAAAATAATTGGATTGGATCCTGGACACAAGAACTGAAAAAAAGGCAGGACTGGTAATAATATTTTTCTGCATAATGTTTGTCCATGCCAATGTTATAAATGCAGTAACTAATATTCAGAACATATTCATATACCATACTCATTGTTATTTATCACATGAATGTTTGGATTGTGTGAGCTTTTACAATGTTGACTTCACTTCTACTCCTATAGTTACAATAATCTACACATGAAGAGTGTTGTACCTGGACTGAGTGTAGACGCCGGGGCAGTAGAGGAGCGCCGTCATCAGATATTGTCGAGGACAGAGGCTGCTCAGCACCAAGCTGATCCCGTACAGAGAGGTGACCACGAACACAGAGAGGCTCAGCAGGAAACTGCGATGGTTTGCCTGTCCAACACAGCTGTTAATCCTGAAAAACCTCAGCACAGACACACAACACAGTGTTCCCATTTAGAGTTTTTTGTTTATTTCAAGTGCAATATACCCAATCACAGGCATTTATACTAAAGAATTACTACTTTACACACTTCTGAACTCACTCTGATTAGTAGCCTGCTGGGCAACACAGGGTCATTGATATATTGATATACACATGGTCATTTTGGAGGTAAGGCATCCATTAAGTTTAATTGAGTAATGATCTCGTTTGCTTTAAAATTGCGTGTATATATATATATATATATATATATATATATATATATATATATATCTGGGCACCATTAGTAACTGGGACATTGTTTGTGGAAAGACACAATGCTTTGGATTTTCTTAAATGTTAGTTTTGTGTCAATGCTTTGGACACAACAAAATAAATTCCAATCAAATTCCATTGGTTCAATGTGGCACCAGAATCTAGACAGCAGATCATTTAAAACTAAACATTTCTTTATACAACAGATACAACTAGGGAAATACTATAGGATAATATGTTTTTTGTTATTACATTTAATGGCGGATTCATATCTATATCTTTTCTATAATTGCTGTTTCTTGAATGTGTCTGCTTATCTGTAAATACAAAACCCAGGCAAGTTTATGCTTTTAAGAGCCATACACAGTTTTAAAGCTGGTGTGACATTTAAGTTCAACTGAATTGGCTGAGGATGTGTAATCTAATGGTAAATGGCAATATGGATTTATATAGTGCTTTTCCAGTTTACTTCCAGACCACTTAAAACATTTTACATATAGCAAGTCAGCATTCACAAATTCACACACATTCATAAAGAGGCAAAGGTCGCCATGCAGCTGCTCAACATTCACTCACTCTCACTCACTGTTGGACTGGCCAATGTTAGCAATTTGGGGTTAAATATGTTGCCCAATGACAGTTCCACATGTTGACTGCAGGGGCCAGAGATCGGACCAATTGATAGCTGACAATCCTGAGTTAAAGCTGCCCATTGGTCTGATTAAAGTCAACTATGCTATTTGCACCCTGGGTGTATATAGCATGGCAGACAAATACAATCAGCTATTCAAAGTAGCGAGTGCTAATCACACCCTGAACATGTGATTATGTTTTCTATCTATAGGTATTTTTGGAAATGTCATTCGTCGTTGATAGCTAATTGTGAACATGGCAGTAAGGTTATAATTGTTCCACAGACCCCAGATGACTCTTTGGCCAGCAGGTTCTCTAAAAGACAGCATTATTCAGGGATACATTGGGATTTTGTTTTGTTCAACCTAATTTAGTTCAGTGAAAGTAAGCAAGAGACTTTCATGATCCTTCTATTATTGCAAAATAAAAGTATAACTGACTTAGAAGTGATCATGGGCCATATATAAATACATATGTTGTATCCAACCCACCAGACACAGTGGTGGTCCAGACGCTGGACACAGGATCCACAGGTTCGACAGTGTCCAGCTCTTGGGGGTCGCATTATTTTGCACACAGGACAGCTGCTCAGTTTTGTTGTTAGGGCATTTTTGATCCCTGTTGCAGCTGCTGATTGGATACATCCATTAAGATGTGTGGAGTCCTTCTCAGCCTCCTGACTGTGGCTGTGAGCTACATGTAGGCACGGGGTCACAAAGCCCGGGCCTCTCTTGGTTTGTATAAGAGAGACGAGAGTGAGAATCACCCCCGTGGTCACAGCACACACCTGCAGCTGGCTGACGTTCCCACGAGGTAAAATCTCTGTGATGAAGAGGTAATACATGTAGAACAGGGAGTAGAGAGATAGGGTGAGGAAGAAGAGGGTGCGTTTCTTTTTTCTGTGCGTGGCGTAGTAGTACCACAGCACCATGCCGGGCAGAGCGGTCAGGATGGTGACACCCAGCAGGAGGTGCAGCGCTGCAACTCGCAGCAGGAGAGGCAGCAGCAGCAGGGCCGGGATCAGGGAGATCTCCATTCTGTCTATAATGGCCCCAAGTACAGGAGACTGACATGATCCCCCTTTAGATGGTCTGTCTCTCAGCCACCTACAGACAACAGGGGTCAACCATGTCACAATTACAAACATTAAGGTTATTAATGTGGAAAATAACGTTGGTTGGAAAGTAATGTGGTTTATGCTTGTGATTCAATCATGATTCTATAAACTCCAAGAAAAGTGATGTTACTTTCACAAAGGTAGATTTCAACTGTGTCTTTTAAAATGTAAGATTTACAAGCAATACATTCACATGCATTTTAATATCTGGTGGTGTGTGTTTTATATGTATTACTTTTAAATTAATTTGTTTGCAGTAACTAAACATTCATTTATTAAGGAATGTGCATCTAGGAAACGTTTAGCTTAGCACAAAGACTGGAAACAGCTAGCTTAAGGTAACAAAACCCGACACCACTGAAGTTCTCTGTTAACACCTTATTTTTAAGTTGTTTAATCAGTGTAAAAAACAAACAGTAAATAACATAGTTTGTCGTTTAGGGGAGAGTTATGTGCCAGACTATTTCTTGACTAAAAGCCAGGCCAGCGGTTTCTGTCTCCAGTCATTGTGCTAAGCTAGCTAACCAACTGCATAAGAGTGGTATTATTCTTTCTAACAAATAAATTATTGCCTAGAACAGCTTTTCAATAAGATACTGAACTCCTTTTTCCAACAAAGTGATACTTGTATGTAAATAACATCTAAGTATTTAGGTTTATTTGCTTACTTCAGTATATTCTACTCATTAGCCTACTACTCACTCTTTTCCTCAAGACCTTCATACCTGGTAAAGGCTTCATCCAGATCTTCACAGTCACAGCAACATCCGTACTGGTCCAAATCACACTCACAGCAACACATAGGATCATCTGGCTCTGGAGGCTTTAACTTCTCCCATTGCATAATGGCTTGCTAAAGATGACTGAAGTTTACAAACTGTCATTTCAACATGAAAGGCCATCAATTTAAAACTGTATACCCAATAGCAATGAACTGCACAGCTAGCACACGTGTGTTAGGGAAATGTTAAGAGTTAGTATTGCTTATAAAAAGGTATTATCTGCCACATCCAATAACAATGCTCAAAAGCAAAAACAAATATTTTTTAAGATTTCTGGTTTTTATACGGGCAGTTCAATATCTCATACACATGGAGCATACACACACAAACACACACTACAAGGCATACTGCACTCCACCTGTGCCTTTAACTTACTATAAGATCTTCTATTTGTTGTAAAAAATTAATCATTTCTAAAAATCAGAGGATTCTCAGTCCCCAGGAGCTTCTAATGCAATTTGTTGAAACAAGGCCACTGTGTCCACAGGGACAAACTATCTGGGCCAGCAACCGTCAGTCTTCAACACTCAAAGATGTACTTGAGTTTTTGACAGTGTTCTTTATTATTTCCTTATCTTATCATCATTTTTGTATGCCTTTTTAGTAACAATGTTAATTAACAAGAATGCAAATGTTTTAGTTGTATTAGTAGGATCAACCTTCACAAAGCCAACAAAAACATTTGATCTCTTAACTTACCTTATGTCTCTGCAACCGAAGTACAAAATCCTCAACGCACTTCAGATTTACTCTCTCCAGGTAAAAGTTAAGCCAATTTTAAGCAAAGGATAAAGAGAACATGGATTAAGAAGATGACCTCTTGTCAGCAAGCTTCTTCCGTAGATGACTGAGGGGGATACAAATAAAACAGCAGCCTACTTTCTCATCACTCATTTGTGTTGAAAAGGGAAATTGGAAAGTTCCTGCATGTGGCAGTGCTGCGGCGACACCGTGTCAGTGCACTGAGATGGTTTTCATTTCTCAGATTCCCACCGTGGAAGAGTCCCAACAGGAGGGAACTCCTGGCAAGTGGTTTGAAATTCTGTAGCATCTGCCAGCTCACTTTTCCCAAAGCTATCCTTCTCGCATGTCCTTAAATAGTTCACAAGTCCTTCTGTTGCATAGCTTACTTCCTCTGCTTAAACAGCTTCTTCCAGTGACCGTTTGAAGTTGTAATACTTGATTAATATAGGTTCTCCCTCAACTGGTAAAGTAAACATGTAAAGGCCAGGGGTCTTTTGTGCTCCTCTCCACAGCTGACATGCTATGTTGACAATCCACACTGAGCTGGACGAGTGTGTGTATGAGAAACATGACAGGCACTCATAAATGAGAGAGTGAGGGATGATCCACAGGGCAGCCCCACCCTCTGGGATCATATTTCCTCCCACAAGCAACATGAACTCACTGCTCACACACAGAATTACCAGATAACTCCTGTGTTTATATCCTTGCAACACTGTAATTAACAGTGAGAATGTGTTAAGTGATCCCTGCACGGCGGTTTTCCTTTCTCTTGCCCTCCTGATGATCTATTAGAAGTGACAGCTTTGAAAACGTAGAAAGCACACCGGCGTCTGGAGGATGAGAAGCTGTTAATACCAAGAAGTTCAAGAGGTTGTAAGTGCGAGAGGCATCTGTTTACATATTAGAGACATGATAGTCAATATAAAAAGTATTTAAGTATTATTTTTCACTTTCAGGTCATTTAATGTGTTCCTCACAGAACTACACACACAAAAAAGTAGTTAATTGATTGACAGAAAAAATACATTTTGAAATTATTTTGATACGCTTTGAAATTATTTTCCAATTTATTTTCTAATATTTTGTTGTTTTCTTGGGTTTTGTATTGCCTTTATTGCTCTTCCTACTAGACGTTTATACATTTTCCTGATGATACTGGCATTCCTCTACTTCCAATTTTCAATGTAGAGCGCTTTCTTGTAGATACAGTGGGGCAAAAAAGTATTTAGTCAGCCACCAATTGTGCAAGTTCTCCCACTTAAAAAGATGAGAGAGGCCTGTAATTTTCATCCTAGGTACACTTCAACTATGAGAGACAGAATGGGGGAAAGAATCCAGGAAATCACATTGTAGGATTTTTAATGAATTAATTGGTAAATTCCTCAGTAAAATAAGTATTTGCTCACCTACAAACAAACAAGATTTCTGGCTCTCACAGACCTGTAACTTCTTCTTTAAGAGCCTCCTCTGTCCTCCACTTGTTAACTGTATTAACGGCACTTGTTTGAACTCGTTATCAGTATAAAAGACACCTGTCCACAACCTCAAACAGTCACACTCCAAACTCCACTATGGCCAAGACCAAAGAGCTGTCAAAGGACACCAGAAACAAAATTGTAGACCTGCACCAGGCTGGGAAGACTGAATCTGCAATAGGTAAGCAGCTTGGTGTGAAGAAATCAACTGTGGGAGCAATTATTAGAAAATGGAAGACATACAAGACCACTGATAATCTCCCTCGATCTGGGGCTCCACGCAAGATCTCACCCCGTGGGGTCAAAATGATCACAAGAACGGTGAGCAAAAATCCCAGAACCACACGGGGGGACCTAGTCAATGACCTGCAGAGAGCTGGGACCAAAGTAACAAAGGCTACCATCAGTAACACACTACGCCGCTAGAGAGCATTTAGATGATCCAGAAGAGGATTGGGAGAATGTCATATGGTCAGATGAAACCAAAATAGAACTTTTTGGTAAAAACTCAACTAGACGTGTTTGGAGGAGAAAGAATGCTGAGTTGCATCCAAAGAACACCATACCTACTGTGAAACATGGGGGTGGAAACATCATGCTTTGGGGCTGTTTTTCTGCAAAGGGACCAGGACGACTGATCCGTGTTAAGGAAAGAATGAATGGGCCATGTATCGTGAGATTTTGAGTGACAACCTCCTTCCATCAACAAGGGCATTGAAGATGAAACGTGGCTGGGTCTTTCAGCATGACAATGATCCCAAACACACCGCCCGGGCAACGAAGGAGTGGCTTCGTAAGAAGCATTTCAAGGTCCTGGAGTGGCCTAGCCAGTCTCCAGATCTCAACCCCATAGAAAATCTTTGGAGGGAGTTGAAAGTCTGTGTTGCCCAACGACAGCCCCAAAACATCACTGCTCTAGAGGAGATCTGCATGGAGGAATGGGCCAAAATACCAGCAACAGTGTGTGAAAACCTTGTGAAGACTTACAGAAAACGTTTGACCTCTGTCATTGCCAACAAAGGGTGTATCCTCCTGGGACCCAGCCCATTGAAAATGTCCACTGTAGTGGACATTTTGTTAACATGCATCTCCTTTTACTCTTTTGAGCTACTCTATCAATCCCTGATGTGCTGTACAGAGGACATCCTGGTCTTTCCAGTGATATGTCATTGGTTAAAATTGCATGCTGGGAAGTTCCTCTTTCTTTTCATCCAAAATGGCTGGCATACGAAAAACAAAATTGTATAGAAGTAGTAGGAGAAGTCAAATATTGTTGAATAATTGTCATTTTTACCATGAAAATCATATATATTCTTGTTTATTAACATACAACTAACTATATAATTAGTTCTGAAAGCAATTAAATAATTCAAGTTTTCAAATAACAGCCCTTTTATAAATGTCCATTCTAGTGGACGTCAGGACTATCTTCATGGACTTTATGACTCAATATTGTTGCAGGAGACGGAACTGAAGCAGACATTTTCTGTACCAGATAGTTCAGGGAGATTCAGATTTTGAGCTCTCAGATGATGAGAGAGATGAGGATTTCACACCTGGGATAGAAGAGGGTCAAGAAGAAGGGGGGGAAAGATGCAGGAGGCTCCATGAGCGCACAGATAGATACATAGAGACAGATAGGGACGAGCTGGAAAGACATGGCCCCCTGTGGGCCAAGAGTAGCACGTATGTCTTATTGTTGTTTTTATTTTAAGTGGAGCCATGAAAAATGAGAGTTGCCTCAGGAATGCAAGCTTTGTTTCTATGAGCAGGTCAAATGGAGACCACATCCATAAAACTTGTCAAGATGACCCTACAGCCCGTGCTGACTGGAGTCCAATGAGGTACTTTCCCAGTACATTGACTACAAAGTCTTTGAAGATCTGGAAAGATTCACCAAAAAACAAGCTAGTTTTGTATTGACCAAATAAACAGCAATGTTCAGATCAATTACTTATTCATGTTTTAAATAAAGGTGAATGTATTATTGTATTAATATCACTCTATAACCATAATACGTTACATAGTCCATCTGTTAATTTTGGCTGTCTTTTCAAACTAATATGGTCCCGACGTCCTCTACAGTGGACATACTGTAACATTTTAAAATAAAATAAAAAAAGTCTAAATTGCAAGATGGTTTTTTAACCCTAAATAGGTAGGAAATCACAAAAAAAGGAAATTGGAAGACACTTTTTTTTTCTTCAACAAAGTATTGAGATGAACTTTTGTTATTGACCAAATACTTATTTTCCACCATAATTTGCAAATAAGTTCTTTAAAAATCAGACAATGTGATTTTCTGGATTTTTTTTTTCTCATTTTGTCTCTCATAGTTGAGGTATACCTAGGATGAAAATTACAGGCCTCTCATCTTTTTAAGTGGGAGAACTTGCACAATTGGTGGCTGACTAAATACTTGTTTGCCCCACTGTAAGTACATTACAGTAAGGTAATACTTAAGTAAGGGATCTGAATGCTTCCACACATACTGCACACACTGCTCAAATGTCAGTCGTTAAAAACTGAACAATGAGATCAAGAGAGGCAGATGCATTGTGGACTGGTATATCCTGGGAGCATTGAAGCTTCTTAATGTCTGCAGCAGGGTGAGTCTGGACGGATGAATCAATGCAGAGAAAAGATGCTGCTCCTGCGGGTTGAGCTCCCTTCGATTAGACTTGATGGAGGCCGGAACCCGAGATAACGGCTCTAATCCAGTTTGGGAGAATTAATGCTGCGAGTCAGGCAGAACCAAGAGTACATGCTCAGGATTTCACATCAGCAAATTACAACAGATGCTTGCATTGGAAAAAAGTGACACGTGAGTGGACAGATCAAGGGGATATAGCTTTTTTGCGGTCATCTTTGATCAAACTGGCCTCATGTGAGGATGTCAAAAACTGTAATTACAGCGTAAAGTGGAGGTAATACTCGTGTTAGATGCCTGTAATATGGGTAAAAATAGCTATAATGACAGTGTAAGTTGGTAAAAAAGGGTCATATTACAAAAATGAAATGTCTAATTTTAGCCTTTTTTGTATGTGCCCATTAAAAGCTTAAGAGTCCTAGTAGGTTTTAATTTGACGAAAGTGTAGTATTAGGCACAGCATGTTAAATGTGAAATAAAAGCATTTGTTATGGATGATTGCCTACAAATGTAATGGTAACTCAGTCCAGGCATAACAAACTGTTTTTAAATGGACATAATATACTGTAATTTACACTATAATGTCAATGGAAATCTATATTTTAGCTTACTTTTCCAAAGCTACTCAAACCTAATGTATGGACAATATAATGGTTTAAATTGTTATTCAAACAAAACAAGCCTTTTTCTAACCGTCACCCTGCAGCATTCAAACAGCATGTGTGCGCCACCTAAAGGTGAAAGTCTTTCCCTGAACATCTGTGTGTTCATGAGTTGGAGCAGTTAAGGTGAGTACTCAGACTCAGGTTGAGCTTTCAAAGCTAAAACTTTATTTAAATAAACTTTATGATTACTACAATTTGTAATCAAATATATGTTACTATCAATCTTTCAGAGGAGTGAAGTTTGCTCTGTAAATCAAAGTCTGCACATTTTTGGAGAAACTGGAAATATACATTTTGAAAGTGATCTTGTTCATTATATATCAACTTTGTCAACACACTCCCCATGCTCATGCTGAATAAATACATACTGCCACAGAGTCATTTAACATTTATTTCAGGAGACAGCAACAACCCACAAATATAATAGACATATTTTACAACACAACTCTAACAGAATCATTCATTCACATTTTTGCACATAATATCAAGTATATTTTCCACAACATCACGATCACACTTAAGAGCTTGAAGAATTGTTACCCTCTGATATTCAGTTTCGCAGTGCATCTGTCCCTTTACTCATGCGCATTTCCCACTTGATTAATAATCTGTATTGATCCCCGCCACATCTGAAGAAAAATAAACTCCCTTGCCTGTCATTGATGCAGCGATTGGTTGAGTGCAAGTACAGCATCATACTGGGGCCCACTGATTTTAACTACAACATGACGATGTAGATCTATAAGTGCAATGCAATGGGCTGAAAGTGTTGCTACATCCGCAGAGCAGATTGCATTTTCCAGTATCGTGTTCATGAGAAAAGAAGAGTCCAAAATCAACTAAATGAAATGGAAACGTGTGCAGGAATGTACAAGGGGATGTAAACACAGAGGAATTAAATAGTTCACATGACTGAGGCAGACGTTAAGAACACGGGCCAAACAATGTTTCACTGCACTTTGGGAGATGTACTGAGAGGTAGGAAACTCATTCCTCCAGGGTCCTGAAGGCGTTCTGCATGTCTTCCAAAAGCTGGGCGAACTCCGCTTTGATCTTAGGTTCACCATCCTTCACAGGGTCCTAAAGAATCCAACGGACAGCGAATAAGTTATTTACCTTGACTCATAACTAGACACATTTATCTCCAACACAAAGTGAGGAACAATGGCGTACCTTGAACTTCATGGAGCTGATTTTGTACAGGATCTCTCCCATGTGCTCCCGGATCATGGACCAGGTGATTTTGTTTTCGCTCTGAGCTGTGGTCTCCACGGCGTGCCGGGCCATGTCGTAGAAAGCAATCATGTTGGAGAGGATGCCCACAGTTTTGTAGAAGGGGCAGAACCTGTGTGTGGGGACAGAAGAATGTGTGTGTGACCTCACAGTTTTGGGTTATAGAATAAACAAGCAAACCAAAACTATTTCAGCGTTGTATACATTTTTTTGTTATTCCATGATTTTAACAGAAATCAACTCGTGTCTTAGAAAACATGTGGAGATGCTGTAGTAAAGGCAATATTTTCTAAAAATGTGTTCCTGGTTTCAGAATAAGAATATGCTGTATGTATGGGAAATGTGTTTTTCTGGCGGTTGCTCCATTTTATAATGTCATAAAATATAAATTAGACAAAAAAAGATTAATATAATAAGAAGCAAAACTAAAAAGTTAATTAAAATGATAAAATATAATAAATATATATAAACATAATTAAAGTACAAATATCAAATAAATGATAAAAATAATTAAAACCGAACAAATATATTGACAAACATAAGAAGTTGAAGCAAAAATAGGCACATTGTACTGATATATATATATGGATGCTGATGGTGAAGTACGTCCTTGTGCCTAGTAAGTATTGAGGGAGGAGAAAATCCCTATTTAATTAGTTTGCTTCAATTGTTGTTGTGGAGAAAAAAAGTTTTCAATGTACTATTTATATAAAAGGTTGTAGAGCCATTTCAAGCCTTCTGATGGTGAAACATGTGTTTTTGGTTGGTGAGATTCTTTAGTTTTGTACCTGTCGTACGGGGTGTAACCGTTCTGCTGCAGGAAGTCGTCCTTAATGAGCTTTGCAACTTCTAGAGTGATCTTATCGGTCTCAGCAAGAGAAGCCTGTGAACAAAACAAGTTCCTACAGATCAGTACTTATCTTCTCTTTTCAGAGTTGTTTATTAACCAGATTAGCATGCTTACAAATAAATGATTGACTAACAGAAGCCCCTCATACAGATTTCTCACACCAAAAGCAGCAATTACCTAGTTGTAAAATACATGCATGTGGGAAATTATATATAGAAATTCATTCAAAAGGGGAACCATGTTATATAATCTATAGTCGGACTCACCTTGCCCACAAGCTGCACGATTTCAGCCAGGTCTTCTTCCTCCTGTAGGATCTCCTTGGCTTTTGTACGGAGAGGAACAAACTCGGGGAAATGTTTGTCGTAATATTCATCAAGAGCGCGTGTGTATTTGCTGTAGCTAATCAGCCAGTTCACAGAGGGGAAGTGTTTCCTCTGAGCCAGCTTCTTGTCCAATCCCCAGAACACCTACAAAATACAAAAAAAAATGTTTAACTAAAAACGGTACAAGGTCAAATTCTAAGATGAAGGGCTAAAGAGCCAAAAGCCATTACTCACCTGAACAATGCCCAATGTGGCTGAAGTGACAGGGTCAGAGAAATCTCCACCAGGGGGGGACACACTAAGAGGAAAGCACAGAATTTAAGGAGAAGTCAGTCAGATAAAAAGTGTTGAGGTTTGTTTTGTTATCAAAAAGGGAATAAAAAAAAAAAGTTAAACTAATCACAAACTCTAGATGTCAAAGACCTTTAAACACAAATCACACATAATAAAAAGTAAAGGAAGTTGAACACTAAAGGCAGTCCAAAAAGTACAACATGCTGTGTAGCTACAAAACTTTGATTTGATTTACAACCATGCACTGGTCTCAGTACATTTTAAAATGCAACGGCAATAAGGTTTGTGAAACTTGAATCTTTGACACTGGAAGTTTTAGGTATGAAATTCATTTAGAATCCTTGGTCTTTGTTTAATCCACCTACTATAAAGTACATTTCAATGTTATGCATTGTGTCCAATTGTATAGCAGATGTTGGGGAAAAAAAAGTATATCCACTCACGCTCCTACGATGCTAACGCTGCCTTCCCTCTCTGGATTTCCCAGGCACTTCACACGTCCGGCGCGCTCATAGAAGGAGGCGAGTCTGGCGCCCAGGTAAGCAGGATACCCGCTGTCTAAACACAACAACATACAAAAACTGTGTCACAGGGTCCTCGCAAATCATTAGAAATGAATCACATCCATCAAGAACTTACCAGCAGGCATTTCAGCTAATCTTCCAGAGATTTCTCTCAGAGCTTCGGCCCATCGGGACGTGGAGTCGGCCATCATGCTCACATGGTAACCCATATCTCTGAAGTATTCGGACAGTGTGATCCCTGCAGAAGTAATTATAATACAGTTTACAAAAACAATTGAGGGAGGAAATACTACAAAAAAGGCATATACTTTAGTTTTTGAGGAGATTTCACGGCATTTACACAATTTCTTATAGAGGTGATGAATGATCTTAGTTCTTTCATTTTTAATTATCATATAATAGCATTTAATATATATAAAAGGGCCCTTTTCATAATAAAGTGAATGCTTGGTACCTGTGTAAATGGAGGCCTCTCTGGCGGCCACAGGCATGTTGGATGTATTAGCAACCAGTGCTGTTCTCTTCATGATGCTCTCAGTCTTGCCATCGACCTCCATAGTAAGCTGTTGGACAAGCGCAGTGTTAACAAAATAAAATGTAAAGGATTGTTCTGTTTTTTTCTCTTTACATGTTTTGTCCTTTTTAGCCAAAAAAAGTAGATCAGTACTGAAATTCCCCATTTATTAACAATTTGAAAAACTCTTTGGTTCTTCCACCTACCTCTGGGAAATCGCGCAGCACTTCAGACATCTCATTTCCACGCTCTCCGCAGCCAACGTACACAATGACGTCACTGTTGGAGTACTTGGACAATGACTGCGAGATCACCGTCTTTCCACACCCAAAGGCTCCTGGGATAGCAGTGGTTCCACCCTGCACACAACTACAAAGCACAAACGTTAATTAGCAGCTTGCTGATTTTATTACAGCATAAAATAAGTGGCTACACACAAGTGAAAACTGCCTTTATGAGTGTTCATAATGGAAAAAAGTTCAAACAGATCCTGAGGTATGGACCACTCACGGGAAAAGTGCGTCCAGAACCCTCTGCCCGGTCAGCAGCGGATGATTAGCAGGTAGCTTCTCTGTGACTGGGCGGATTTGTCGAACAGGCCACACCTGCATCATGGTGAACTTCTCCTTTATGCCTTCAAATTCCAGTTCAAGAACCACATCCTGAATTTGGGAAAAATCTGAAAATCAGCCTTGGGAATAGCTTTTTCCCCAACGATAGAGTTTTGCTTCCAGAGAAACACTCACAGAAATGTCGTAGTTTCCCTGTGGGGCTAGGTAGGTGACAGTGCCTCTGTTGCGAGGTGGAAGCATCATCTTGTGTTTTATCAAGGAGTTCTCATACACTATGCCGTAGATATCACCGCCTGTCACGTGACTGCCAACCTGCAAAGGAGATGATGTGGAATTAGTCAGAATGGTTGCAGAGGACAGACATTCACACCACACTCTGTTTTTCTTCTTACCCGAAGACTCTGGCCGGGGGAAAATTCCCATTTGAGGTCTCTGTTAAGAGCACCGATGTTTACTCCTCTTGGGATGTAGATACTTTGAGTCAGGTCGTTGATGTCTTTCAGTGGACGTTGGATACCGTCAAAGATGGAGCCCATGATGCCTGGGCCCAGCTCTACAGAGAGGGGCTTTCCCGTCCGAAGGACAGGGTCACCGACAGACACGCCAGCTGTGGCATCAAGTTAAGAAAAGACAATCAAACAGCATTGCCTTGACATATTAGGTTTTGTCTTTACATTTAGACTCACATTATCAATAAGTGAAGTAGCTCTCAAATGTGTCTTTGGTAACTTAATAACTTAATAATATAATAGTTTTAAGGAATATGATGACTGGGTTTGTGACATGTCTATCTACAAAGAAAGGTAACAAGGCAGCAGAAAGGATACAAGTCTCCTCGTAGACCTGGATGGTTGCCATGTCTCCCTCCAAACGGATGATTTCTCCCACCAGCTCACTGTGACCTACACGGACCAGCTCGTACATGGCGGCTCCGGCCATCGCTGTCGCTGTCACCACTGTTGTAGAAATACAGAAATTCATAATGAAAGAATTATAATTTGCATCCCTAGTATTAATACTAAAACATTTTAACAATGAAGCATATACATGTACAAATGCATTTCAGAAAAAAATACATATTTTAAATTGTATTCCGGGGAGAAAATGATGTGTCACTTTTATATATTCTCTGTTATTTTGTCTTTTTAAAGTTGAAAGATTCAGAAGGACTTGTATCTGTGTAGTTGCGTTTGACATTGTAGGTGATAAACAACGCAATATAGTCACTAAAAGAGAGGAGCAATGAATCACACCTGGTCCAGAAACCCCATGAACAAATCCAAACTCGCTCTCTCGATCCTCATCCTGGATCTTAGCAAGTTTTGAGGTATCCATCTTGATCTTGGTTATATCCTGCAAAAAATGAGGAATTCATATGAGACACAGATGCTGATAATTTACATTAAATACTCTCATAAGGCCTATTAAACATCGTTTAAAACACCGATAGCATGCAGTACTTCATCCTAGCTAATGACAGATTCACATCACGATGATATGGACATTAATATGACGCCATGACAAATTACTGCCAGCAGCACAGTGCTGAAATAAATGACCAAGTCTAGGTCACAAGCTAAGCTGAGGCTTTAGCGCATTAGATGTGTTTTCCATTCAACCAGGGTCGAATAAAAGCCACATTAGGGTACTCCTGTGAATCACTGAGGTCATGTTAGCTAGCCAGATAGTAGCTTTATGTTGGTTTCTAGTACTACGCACACTGAACGCTGAGAGTAAAGCTGCGTTTTGCCTGTGCGTATGTATGCTGACATGACTTAAGTCAGGTTACTAGCTAGCATACACTAGCTTCATCATCATCATCATCACAGACAGGTCAAGCTAAATAAATGTTTTTTTGCGCAGTATTTGGTGCAACACTGGCATGAAATAACAAACGTTTGTACATTTATAATCTCATATTATATCGCTACTATAGATGTCTTTACCTTGTCTTAATATGCAGTTCTCCAGGTTAGTCTCCAACGTAGCAGCCAGAGGAGGAGCTTCACTGTGTAATCACCTGCCAGGCACCGGACTGTCACTGGAAGAAAACATCTCCATTGTGGCTCCGCTGATTTCACACGGTTGGCTGTCTGAGTGGAGCCAAGATGGCATCCGCAGCTCCACAGTTTCCTAGTCAACGATAAGTTCCTTATAAAAGACACTGACCTCTGCTGGATTTAAATGAAACATTCACCTGCAACAAACTAGGATACTTTCAATTTAGTTTAAACGACCAATGTGTCTAACTGCAATTTTTTACATTTGACTTTTTTTGGCTAGAAATTGTACATACCTGGGTGAAGCCAGATGCAGATGGGAGTTAGCTTTTAGCTATAAACTGACAGGCCTGCATAGTTTATCTCCTTGAGAGTAATGTATTTTCATGCATGTTCCTTGTTCAATAAAGACACACTAACCCCTTTAAAACTTCATGAGTACATTAATGTGCATCTTCTAACATGAACTGTAAAGTAAAGTGATAAAACATTGAGTGGCTTATCTTATGGGTGAATCAGCTATAACTGGGATAAACCTCTAATAGAAAAAACACAGCTACAAGAAAACAGCCGTTTTAGTTTATTAATATGTAACCTGTTATTGTACTATACATATAGCTACTGTGGGATTATAGTTAATTGAGAGTTTTCTTGTAATATTGTTTTTTAATGATATGTTAACCTTTTCAAAAACACATCACAACACAACATTATATAATGGCAGAACAATACTGTATTCTGATTGGTCATGAGACCCTACTATACATACCATGGTTCACAAAATGAGGTAGAAAATACAAAACATTGAATGGAATTACTCGTCAAACATACACATAATACAGGCAGGGGTACACTCATAGTCCAACATTATACCAGGGATGTGTAATTCCATAAAATGATGAAAATAAATTATAAAATGTAACACTTTGTCCTGCTACAATAAGGGGTGTTGTTACCTATACCTCCAGTGATAGTTCTGCTCTACTCAAGTTTCCCAGTAAACCATGAAAGTGAGACAGCCTGCACACCAGGATCCCGAAACTGAAGCAGCACAATGGCATACAGCCAATCGTTTCATTATTCATGCCTGTACTTTTCTTACTGTGTCACGTCAAAAGGTGAAAAAGGTCTTGCACCGGGACCTCAGTTTTAAGGTTTACTGCACATTTCATCAATGGGTTTGTTGTGTTCAAGGTGTCAGTTAATCAGGGAAGGACATTTATTAGAACACACACACTTGAGATTGAAAAAAGTGAGAAAACAAACTGGCTCACATTTAATCAGTGGTAGAAAACAAAACAATCAGTTATCATTCAATTGATACATTATCATTTTTTGAATTGTAGAAGTTCTTTCTCATGCAAATTCTTCATGAAAGTTAATGTGGCAGGACATTAATAATGCAAAATGAGGTGGCAGCAGTTGGTTGGTGTGTTGAGTCCACTAGATGGAGCCAAAGAAAGTGATTCACAGTTTTGCTTTGTCTGCTCTAAAGATCCAATAAAGCAAAGCTTCATCCAGGTGCTACACTTTGGGTTAGGTCAGTCTGACCACTCGTTTTCATCCAGCTCAGAGTCGTCTTCAGAGTCAGTGTACTCCACCGCAATACGGCGGGACAAGATGGTGGCCACGTCGTTCCCTGCCGGCTCCCGCTTGTTCTGCTGCTCCTGCTGCTCTTGAACTTGCTTCAGCTCGATGCCTAATAAAAGCAAATACAGTATATTAAATAAAATCAAATATTGTACATACACAATATATTTGTATATGGTCATATAGTCCTGCAGGAAAAAATGCAAAATAAAGGATTTTACACACCAGGGTTATTTATGGAGGGGATTTAATTAACAGGATTTGATTTTTACACAGCGAAATAGCAGTGTCGTCATCTTTTTCTGGAGCTTTTCTGGAGTTCATCCGCTTTTACCTTTTCACAATAAAAGTTCTTAACATATAATATTCACAGAAGAGTATTTTTGCATTTTCTTGATGTGTATTTGAAACTCTCCTGGTATGTAAACGTGCCAAGTCCTAACTCACCCATGCGGATGGCGGACAGCAGGTCACTTCTCGCATCTTTCACAGGTTTAGCCTCAGCTCTGCTGCCTTCACTGTGTCCTACTAGGTGTAAGGGTGCAGCGGGGGGAGGGAGAGGTGGAGGTGGAGGTCCTGGGGGAGGAGGAAACATGTGTGGCCCTGGAGGAGGTACTGGTGGAAGCGCATAGCCGGGGCCTACGTGCAAGACTCCATTATGTGGCGTTGGTGGTAGAGCACCCAGAGGAAAACCAAAGGCTGTCTGGGCTGATGAGATGGGTGGGCCTGGAGGAGGAGGGGGGGAGCTGGAAATTAAAGAAAGAGGATTATATTGCAGTACAAATAAGGAGATATATTTATTTCTCTGATTATGCAACAAAAACCTACTTGTAATCTGCAGGTGTCCGCATTGAACCGTTCATTCGGTCTGCAGCGTGAGGCTCTGCTGTGGCGTAGGTTTCTCTCTTGTAGTCGACATCAATGCTGTGGTATTCATGCTCCACAGGTGGTGAGGGGTGTGCATTCCCGGGCACGTAATCACGTGACTTGGCACGGTTACAAGCAGTTTGGGCAGGCACTGGAGGAATGGGGTAGTCTGGGAGGTCAGGCCTGGATAAACAATGAAAAAATACAGTTGCTTTCACATATCCAGATGGTGGATTTGTGGTTATAATATCGAAAGTGAAGCCTTACATAACAAAGATATTGAAAATAGGATCAACGCCAAATAATAAAGCAAAGCTTAGATTGTATTCCTCCAAATCCCTCAATACAGTTTCCAGAATTACATTTGTTGCCTTGATTAACATATTTGTGTTGTAACAGTATTTTTAAAGAAAAATGTTGCCTTCCTTAGAAATGTCAAACTAAAGATTGAGAGGGACAGAGGGATGATATTTTAGGTCGTCCAGACAATCCTTGTGGTATTACATGTTTTGCATTTTTTCAGTATTATCCAGTATTATTCTCTGTTTGTGAAATTTAGAATGTTGATTTCATCTAAAGAAACAAATGATCTTGTTTGCATCTAAAGCACTAACCTGCCATCTGGAGAGAGCGAGCCCTCAGATGATGCCCCCTGGCGGAGAGTCTGCTGTTGGCGATGTTCTGGACGATGCTCTTTATCGAAGGCCATCATGTTCCACTGTTGCCTTCTGTTTCGAACCTTTCTCACCTTCTTCACTTCGCGCTGAAGGGTGCTGCTCTCCACACATCGCTTCTGTTCCTGGAAGAGGTGGGTAGAAAAAGATGATGAGAACCCATCTTACAAATAAAAGTATAAAACATAAAGCAGTGAGTATGCTCTCACCCGTTGCCTCCGCCTTTCTTTCCTCTTGTCCTCTGTGTCCTGAAGCATTTTCTCCTTCCACAGTTCAAAAAAGTACGACGGGTCTGAGTAGTATTTCATCGCATCAATGGAATCCTCTCTGTATTTAATCACAATTTCACAAATGAAATGAGATGACTGGAAATGTAACCATTTTAGATGTTAGATTTGACAATGCGTGCATTACCTGTAGGCAGTGAGGGTGCTGAGGGGTGGAGGCTTGTCACTGCTGTTGTGCATCTCAGCCACTGAGTTGGGAATGCTGTCTTGAGACAAAACCTGCTGGTCCTGCACATTAGAGCTTTTAAATGCCTTCCTCATGTTAATGTCCTGAAGAGAAACTACACAGAAGCAACACAGAGGTCTCACGTTTAATAGAAAGCATGTGAGAGTCAAAGAAAAAGAAGGTACTCAAAATACAGACATCATTTCCAGTGAACTAACCTTCCTCCACGCTGGAGTCCAGCTGTGTGACCTTGACGGCCAAGCGGTCTATGCGGTCCTGGAGAGAGTTGGCGCGCACATAAAAAGTGTTGGCCTCGTTGAAAAGCTCGCCAAAAACATTTTCTGCTTGTGTACCTGCAACCAGAGCAGGAAGAAAGGGAAGGAAGGAAATGAAAAGGTGTTTCAGACCCAAGATAAAAAATGAAGGGCATGACACATACAATTTGTCATATGTACATTTCTGAATCTACGGATTATCCATAAAGTGTTTGGTCCCTGGACTGCACAGAATAGCATTAATGGCACACGTCAGACAGCTCAGATCCTCTTAATGTAGGAGCTATCATTAGACTACCTCGGCCTGTGTCTCCGCCCACTTACTCTCCATCTTATCGGCCTGTGATACAAAGCTTTACGGTAAACTCTAAGCCCTGTAACTTCACTAAATCCATGACACACACACACACATATGAGCACACACATAAGAACACAAAACAAACACATAAGCTCCTACTACTAGACTCCTATACTAGGATGGGTTAAATACAGAGGCCACATTTCACTGTGTGTGCTGTCTGCTCTGCATGTGTGACCATTAAAGAGGGTTTCATCCCTCCGATTCTATCTATCGATTCTATCTATCTACTCAGGCACAACAGATGTCCAGGAGAACATTTGCTTTATAAAATAGTCTTTCCCCATTTTACTCAGTGACTGTTATACACAACAAACACACACAGGTTGGTATATTAAAGCTTATTTAGAAATTGTCCAACATATTTCGAAACACACTTTCTCTGTACACATTGGATTTTTAGACTGTACAAAGTTAATTTAATTTACCGATTTTTGCTCACACAAAAATGTGAAATGATCGGTTATCAGCCATAAGAATCAAGTAATTATTGTTTATAGGTATCAGCTGAAAAAAATTCCTTTTCTGCATCACCAATATGACACTGATAAAAACACAACCAATGCATCATTGTAATTGTATGTGCTTTTTTTATGATGTTGAAGCAGGCCATAAAGCTTCTCTCCTGTTATAATCACACGTTAAACAAGCATCCAAACATACTTTGATACAAACATAGAAGCCTCAGTGATCTTACTCAGACTACTGAGCTGGCGGATGATGGTGGACAGCGTGTTGTTGGTTACACATTCCAGCTCGTTGCCAATCCTATCAGGCACTGCACCGTGGCACAGGTGCCGAGGCTGAATGTTTCTCTTTACCAAAGGCATGACCCTCTCTCACATCTCGACCACAGCACCTGCTGGGGGACAGAGGACAGCTTATTGTATACCAGTAAAACCTGCACTGCAACTATCAACATATTAAGCCTTATTCATAAAAATATATCTACCTTTATCAAACATGGTGTCCTATTTCATGCACTTTCCTTCTCTTTCGCTGTAACTTCACTAGAAACAGATACATATGTTGTTAGTTGTTATCTAAACGGAATTTAACATTTAAATCAGCAGACAATTAGCCTTTGATGTTTGGATTATATTAGTTTAAAAGATTGCCGAGTGTGTTGACTGGGCCAATTGCTGTTGAATGTCACATTTATCACCACCTATCAAAGTAGAACATCTATTGTATGTTTTTGGGCTCTTAAAATGGATCAAACATGCTAAGCAACAGCTGTTTTATTCAGCGAGTTCATTGTTATAGAACAAATGTAGGAGTTTTTCAGGTAAATGTGCTAGTCACTTTACACTCCTTTATCGAATAGACGTAAAACAAGGGACTGAGTGATTACCAATAATTACCGACTGTGGTTAGCCAGCACGTTAGAAACAATAAGAACATCAACTTACCATAATTACCATATATATTAATATTCTGTACAACATGGCAAACAAATCAGAGAGAACCTCTGAATGTTTAATTACCCAGGGGAGAATAGAGCTGCTTCACTGACAGTGAGTTTGGAGCCATAGAACCAGAACAAAAGTCCACATTTAAGCAATGTTGATCAAATATGAATAATAAAATAAAATCATCATTTGGGGTCAATTTCTCAGTTTCTAAGAAAGCAACATTGTTTGACTGTCAACAGTGTGTACTAAAGCAATGTCAAAATGTATATGAATTAAAGCCTACTGTAGCAAGGAGTTTTTTTTCTGAAATGAAGCTAATGGCAGAATTAGAAAAATAGTTTTTTGATTTACTATTAGGAGGTAAACTTAACACATTGACAATACAAAGATCTTTTTAAAATTAATTTTAAAAGTGTAAAACATGTTTGGACTGTCGTTATTGGTATTAAATATAAAAATAGCCTATTTAAAAAGTGTTTTATGGCGACAATTACCCACAATCCCCCGCGTGATATAAAACCGCACTTTGCTACTATGCTAGCTGCTGGACGTTCATCGCTGTTGTGGAGGCGCCAGAGAGCGGCTGACATTCACATAAATGTTTGTTCTTCTTGACTAAACGTTTAACTTCACACAGCAGGTAACATTTTCAATAACGTACACGAAACATGGGATATTTAACAACATATCGGTGGCTCCATAAGACAGTTAAAAAACAAACTAGTATCTCTCCTAGCATAGAGTTTCCGTTGGGCTAGCTTGAGTGTTGGTTCAACCTACGTTTGTTCTGACGTCAGCACGCCGGGGAGCAGCGGTGAAGGTCTGGTCCGAGCTGTTTTATCCAAAACAAACAAATGATTTGCTGGCTTGCTTCAGTCGTGCGCTGGACATTGATAGTAGTCATCTCTGTGGGGCGGAGTTCACTCTGAAAACAAATCTCTTAGGTTCAAATCACAGCTTGAGCCATGAGGGGATTTGGCCAGCAGCTTTACTCCTGTCATCCAATCACAGCTATCATGCCAGCCTGGGACATCTAGTGTTTTATTTCCGCATCTATCAGTTCTTTTTATGGACTATAACTCATTATTCTATGAATTGCATAATAATATATCAGTTTTCCATTAGAAATAGTTGTAACCTATGAACACATGTTTTATCAATGATGATTATAAATGATGGTCGTGTTTTTCTCGATGTTATCATTGACATTGAGTCTAGTACAAATACATCTTCTTAGAATTACTTATTTGGACAAATGTTTGGCCTTTTACCTGACAGTGATTTATTGGATGCAGTCTAATTTATTTACTCACTATAGTTTCAACAAATGTATTTCTGAGGTCCAAAAGAAGGCCACATCTTTTTCTGCAGCCTTCAATATACTTTCAGAAATATTCCTCATGCGTTTGGTGAAAAATGTGTTTTTCTTTTAGTCTTCTTCAACTGTTCTCCCTTCTCTACAATTTTAGTTTCAAACCATCCATCAGCATAAACAGCAGTATGTCAGTCCCTGTTCCTGCATTAACCATTGTAGGGGGCCCGACTCCGACTTGGATTATAAGAAAAGAGTGAACTTCCCCCCTCCAGCTTCTCCCCCACACGCAGATGACACACTGCGACATCAGAAATGTAAAGTATCTCTCTCTCTCTCGCTCTCTCTCCTCTCTCGTCATCTCTAGTGCCTCTCTCTCTATCTCATCTGTTCCTCTCTCTCTCTCTCTCTTCTCTATCTTCGTCTCTCTCTCTCCTCTCTCTCTCTACTCTCTCTCTCTTCTCTCTCTCTCTCTCTCTCTCTCTCTCTCTCTCTCTCTCTCTCTCTCTCTCACACACACACAGCTCTTTTATCACAGATGGCATCATCTGGATTGCAGGAAGGACTAGTGTAACCCAGATATAGGGGCTTATGATTCTAAAACTGAGTATTGTTTCAGGCAGACATTGTTAAATGCATCAATGATGTGATATGCATTGAAGTCATTTTATTGATATAAGAAAAAAGCTAACAGAGTAGTACTACTCGTACAAAGTAAGAGGCTAGGATACAGCGGACACGTTTTTTCTCATATTTTTTCTTAACAATATGCAAATTCCCTAACTAAAACTTTTTCCAGATGACATTAGTTAAATAGCTTTTTTTATAATACTTTCATAACAAAATTGATTGTTTTTTAACAGAAGAATATCCTTGCTGTCCTCAGGGAGATATTAGAAAAAAAACCTATTTCTCTTTATTTGATACATGACGTACATTTGCTGTTAAGCCTGGGAGCAAAGCATTGCCCTGAGGGGTCTCCTCCATATTTTAGACGCTGCTATAATCTCTTGGCCAGCTCAGAAGTATTAACCCCAATACTGTGCTTACCCTTTCCCATTATCGCCATCATTGACCCTGCTGGTTCCACACAATGCATCCAACAACCAGCTTACCCACTTACTGCACAGCGGCCCAAACACTAACACCTCCATCATCCATTACACACAGACGCCCACACTGCCTCTCCTCTGATATTTGTCCTCCTATTATGGCTTTCTGGTCCTACTCCATATTGATGACAGCCAATGCCTTGTCAGTTATTACCCAGTGAGTGGCCACCACATAAACACACACCTACACACACTGAGCTTTTCATTACATTTCATTTAGCCAACGCTTTTATCCAAAGCAAATTTCAGTAAGCGCATTAAACCATGAAGATACTCTATCAAAAAAGCAAGAAATCTCAAGTACATTAGCTTTTAGCAGGCTAAACCATTGCAGCTGTGTCAAAATGCAGTGTATACATCCTTAACACTCATGTTTGTGTTTGTCTTTAATACTTGTAGTCCACACTGTCTAACTGTATAAATGGAAAGCCATGTTTAAGAAGTTATTCAGGATCACTTTATCTGTAAAACCCATGGCTGCTAGAGTCTTGAAACATTTAATCGCTTCCTCAGTGTGTAGGAAACTTCACTCTTTGGAGTTTCAAGGTTTCAATAAGTTGATGTTCAATAACAGTGCTGCTGATACCTGTATTCTATTAAAAGGGTATCTACATTTGTTATTTACTCCCCAAAGTTTAAAAAAGTAACCCCAATGTTTTAATCTCAACTAATGTAAGATCATGGTTTAAGTGGCATTATGGGACATGAAGGGTGGAGCACGTCAAAGTCAGGACGCCTCAGCTTCACCTGCTTTGATTTTTGCATCTTTGTATCTGTCTTCTGTGCAGAAAAAGTGAAATTGGCATAGGGTTGTTGCTTTTAACTTGTCAATTAAGCAGTCATTGGGTTCAAACTGGGTGTTTCTCAATGTCGAGGATGCTTGCTTGGTAGCACATGTCTTCCTAGTCACTTGCTTCAGAAGCGAGGCAAGAATCCTTCCTAGCCTCGGAAAACGAAGAATTGTGGAACAGGTGTGCGTCATATGCGAGGCCCCGCCTTAAATGGAGCACGATTTCCACCAAAGACTTGGAAATTGGTCCGTGCGCAAAGCATTGTGGGGATTTTAAGACCGGAGTGAGTCTACACGTGTACACAGGTGTGTGCACAGGGGCCGTTTCTCAATCTCGAGGATTCTGGCTTGGTAGTCACGTACTTCCAAGTCACTTCCTTCAGAAACGAAGCAAGTATGCTTCCAAGCCACGGCTTCGGAAAACGAAGAAGAATGGAACAGGCTAACAAGTGTGCCACTCTCTCAAGCGGTTTAAACAAACTGTACCGAAAATAAATACCTCACGATGTCTAATTATGAACTTGCTTTACTTTCACGGAACACATTTTTGGTGATAACAAATGTAACAAAGTAACATTACCAACACATGTTCTACGCCACTACATACTTACATTTAAATGTGTGCTGCGTCGGTTCAGCTATTCTCCGCAAGGGTTTTTGAAATTGGTCCGTGCGCAAAGCATTGTGGGGATTTTAAGGACGCGAAGTCTATCCATGTGCAGCCTCGAAATTTCCCCCAAACCAAGGACGCGGCCTCGGTGGAATTCCAAGTATACTGGACATTGGAACGGTCCTGCAGCGCCACTTGATGACGTAGCATCCTTGAAATATTGGCTTGGAAGCCAGTATCCTCGAGATTGAGAAACGGCCAGGTTACACAGGTGTTTCTCAATCTCGAGTAAAGCTGCTCCAGAGCCACTATTTCAAGCATACTACGTCATCGAGTGCAGCCGAAGTACTATTCCAATGTCCAGCATACTTGGAATTCTACCGAGCCCGGTGTACTTCGTTTGGAGAAATTTCGAGGCTGCACATGTGTAGACTCCGCGGTCTTAAAATCCCCACAATGCTTTGCGCACGGACCAATTTCCCCAAATCTGTGGCGGAAAATGTAAGGCGGGTCTTCTCATATGACGCACACTTGCTCGCCTGTTCCACTCTTCGTTTTCCGAATGCCAGGAAGTATTCTTGCCTCGTTTCTGAAGCAAGACGCTCGGAAGACATGTGCTACCAAGCAAGCTTACTCGACATTGAGAAACACCCCCGCAGCCTCTCGCTACTAATTACGCCGGCCTCGGTAGAATTCCAAGTATGCTGGACATTGGAACAGTCCTTTGGCGGCACTCGATGACATAGTATGCTTGAAATAGTGGCTCCGGAGCAGCCTTCCTCGACATTGAGAAACACCCTCTGTGTTATTTCTCCTTACACATACTCTTCACTTTCATTTGGTGCCATCTGTTGGTTAATGATGGAAGCACAAGTGATCGCGCAGTTTATTTGTGGGGTTAAAAAAAACAATAAATGTATTTTTGATTATTGTTAGCATTCCTAAATGTGTCATTAAAGACAGTTATAAGAAGCCCAATAGCATTTATATCTATCAATATGTAGGCCTATTCAAGTTTGACAATAGCTGACCTGGCTGTGTAATGTGTGCATTTAATTGACTTCTGTATTCTTGTCAATAGGAATATGTGATTTGAGGAATATGATTGAATGAATATTTGTCTTTATTGAACAGATCCTGCTGCTGATCAGCCATGTAAGGGAATAAGAGCAAGTGAAGTCGCAGAACTTGAGTCACCTGTTGAGTCCTCCTCGGACTGATGGAAATCCAAGGTAAGTGATCTTCTTTCAAAAGAACAAAATAGTCCACTAAAACACTTTTAAACGCCTTTATAATGTTCCGGTGAGTGAAGAACTAGGGCCACTAGGGTGGGTGAATGGGGGTCTGGGGGACGGGTTTTGGGCTGACAGCCCAGGAGCACAGCGGAGGGCCCGGAAGGGATCTCGGGCGGACGGCCCGGGGGCAAGGCAGAGTCCATGGTGGGGGTCTCGGGCGGACGGCCCGGGGGCAAGGCAGAGTCCATGGTGGGGGTCTCGGGCGGACGGCCCGGGGGCAAGGTAGAGTCCATGGAGGGGCGAAGACCACAGCGGGCAAACTCAGGGGGCCGAGCATGAGGGCGAAGGCAGCGGCAGGAAGAGTCAGGGGGCCGGGCTCGAGGTCGAAGACCGCGGCTCTCGGGGCCGAGCATGAGGGCGAAGACCGCGGCACTCAGGGGGCCGGGCTCGAGGGCGAAGACCGCGGCTCTCAGGGGGCCGGGCTCGAGGCCAAAGAGCGCGGCACTCAGGGGGCCGGGCTCGAAGGCGAAGACCACGGGTCTCAGGGGGCCGGGCTCGAGGGCGAAGCAGGCGAAGGAGGCGGCGACAGAACAACTCCGGAGGACGGGCAGGAAGGCGCTGACGGGACATCTCCGGAGGCCGGGCAGGAACCGGAGCCGGTGGGACAGGCTTCGGCAGGATCCCCCATGGAAGAGGACCAGGAGTTGGCAGGACCCCCGGCGAGGCAGGTGGCGGCGGGACCTCCAACGGAACAAGACCTAGGGTTGGCAGGACCCCCGGCAGAAGAGTAGTCGGCGGGACCCCCAACGGGACAGGACATGGAGTTGGCAGGACCCCCGACGAAACAGGTGTCGGCTGGACCTCCAACGGCACAGGACATGGAGTTGGCAGGACCCCCGACGAAACAGATGTCGGCTGGACCTCCAACGGCACAGGACACAGGGTTGGCAGGACCCCCGGCAGGAGAGCAGTCGGCGGGACCTCCAACGGCACAGGACACAGGGTTGACAGGACCCCCGGCAGAAGAGTAGTTGGCGGGGCCTCCAACGGCACAGGACACAGGCTGAAGCACCCCCCAGGATTGCCAAAGCACCCCCTAAGCACCCCCAAGAAATATGTTTGTTTTTTTTCTCCGAAAATTATTATTATTATTTTTATTAAATTAAATCAGAAACATTATTGATTACATCAATGCAAATGTGAAACAAACAAATGTTTGACCAAAAACATAAAGCCAACACAGATGATATGATTAGGCCAATAGCCAGCACCCATTAGATTTTTGACCTACCCATAGGCTAAATTACTTTGTGACACTTGAGTGACTTCCTGTTAGCTGGAGCGCCAAATGATTTGCTAACAGCAAAGTGACAAATGGATCGTTTTTTAGTCCTTAAACGTCCACGTGTGGACACTCAATCAAAACCAACGGAAAGCGAGAGGGATTCCGCACATAATAGGCCTCGTGAGTAGCTTACTTCTGGGTCTCTGTGTTTCATTCAAGCTTTGCTCTGTGTGTGTGTGGCACGAGCCATTTTGTGTGTGTGCGCAAGCGAGCGAGAGAGAGAGCTCGCGCACCGGTGGGTATCTACCGGAGATCGTTGTGGTTAGCATCTGGCGCTAGCTAGCCAAGCTAACGGATATAAGGAGCTTTTTCAACAACAAGGTGGAGGGAGAACTCTCTCCTGTCAGACTGAGAGTCTCAGATAACCTCAGCTCAGGTGAAGTAAAGGACTCTCAGTGTTTAGATAGTTAACTTTAGTCTAGTTAACTCAGTGGGTCTCAAACGGTTTGTTTTAAAAGGAGTGATTTGTAAAATATCTATCAAGAAATAGAAAATCTGTACAGTATACAGTATATCCATAGATCTCTTCATTTTGCTCTCAAAGTGCACCAGATTGATGCTTTTAACTTCAATATAAAAAAAAAATCTTCTCCTAGAGGAGGTGAGGTCCACTCCCCACTTGTAAAAATAGCACTTTACCCCTGCTTACACCTATATGCCGTGAGCTGATTACCGAGCCTTCATTGTAACAGTCGTGGGTACACTGTGTGCGTGTGGGGAGTGTTGCAGTATAAAATTCAACTAGCGCTGGGGGACATGGGGAAGAAGCAGGGGGTTGACTCCGGACAGAACACACCAAGACGTTTGTAGTCAGCAGGCTGGAAATCACACACCCAGAGGAAGTTCAAAATCCAGCCAGGTAAGAATTTCACCAAGCCTGGTTTCTCCATAGCCAACCGGTGCGCCTCTACCAGAGCGGCCTCCTTCTGCAGAACACTGGACGCTCCCTTCAATCATAGCAGCAAGCCAAATAAAAGGAAAAATGTTGTAATTCCACCTCAAATGGATCATCTGCTGGGTCCATTTCTTGGTTGGTTCGTACTGTTACGGGGAGTGAAGCAAGCAGGACCCAAATGCAGATAACGCTGAAAATACCTTTATTTTAAGGATAATCTAGACAACTTGGACAAAACGGAAAACTCACCGGTGAACTCAGTCACAAACAAAAGACGAACCAACACTGAACACAGGAAGAGACAAGACTAAATACAGGGAGGGGTAATCACGAGACGAGAAACAGCCGGGCAGGGGAGGAGAAACACAAGGGCCACAGGTGAAAACAATCAGACAATTAGACACACCAGGGAAACTAACGACAGGGAGGAAAAACACAGAGAGAGGGACCAGACAATACACAAGGGAGACAGGGAGAACCGAACAGCAAAATAAACCCAAACCTAGACATACAAAACTAAAAACGTGACATAACATGAGAATCGTGACATATAATTCACTTATAGTAAGGTGAGTATAATGACATTCAAACACATTTTCCTCTTGAACTCAATCGAGCCTTTTCAGAGCTTTTAACCATTTAACATGGTCTTCATCAGAAGGGTTGCTCACGGTGTCTCATTAGATTCTTTATCATTTTGTATACAACACTTTTAGGGCTTTTCCTCTGCTTGCCCTTAAACTCAAGGTTCAAAATGTATTCTTGAACTATATATTAATGATAGTTCCAACCAACTCAAGGTCTACTTACTAGCATTTGTGGGAGCGTTCAACTAAATCACATGTATGGTTTGTGATTGTTTTAGATGTTTGTGTATAACAAAACTGTCAGTCAAACGATTAAAATGTAATACCACACCTATTTCGGTTTAAATGTGAGATGTATCTTGTTTTCAAACTATTTTGTATTGCGATAAATAACTAAACAGTACCACTATTCTCTTCTGCATTAACAAATCATTATTCACCATACCTTGTCATTATAAAGCTATCAAGTAATTATCCAACTGTTTTTCTTCTCATTCTTGTTTACAATGGGTCTTTACAAAGCACAAAACCTTCAATTTTCCCATAGCAGAGTGCAGCACATCACACGACAGTGGGAAAAATAATCAGCCGGAGCTTAAGGCCGTATCAAAAGCCTCACAGTTCCTGAGCAGCCGTCTTTAGAGGGGGTGACTCTTAGAATGTCTCAGCTTGTTTGTCTCATGGTTTAAGTGGTGCACATAGCCATGGAAAGATCATTAAATCACTGTTTTACCACTTGGCTTAATCCCCACAACAAAAGAGGAAGATACAAAAAAGAGAAAATGGAGAGAAAAAAGTGGTGGGCGAGATTAAGTAGAAACTTGATGGATCTAAACTGACGGCTCTGTTTCCCAGCGTTGCTAAGGGGAGTTAAGAATCTTGATTCCACTTCTCCCAGGCTGAGGAGTGGCTGTTGATCGGACGTCTCCCATTACCCCTGCAGTGGCCAGCCGCGCACGTAGTGTCCGCTGCTGTGGCCATCTGCCGGATTAACC